TAATACTACTACGAAATTTTTTGATGGTGCTACCAATTTTGGTGTTGTCTCTGCTGCTACTATTCCAGTTGTCCTGCCAGATATCCATGGTGTTGCAAATACGTTATTGCATCCACAACTTGAGCAGACACTGATATCAAAATACTAGTATGTAAATATACATGGTTATATATCCAATGCTAATATTAAAACCTTCAAGAAAAATACACCTCAATGCAAGAGAAGAGTTGGGATAACAACAACCTCGCTAAGTCAAAATTAAATTTGACTAAAAAGGATAATATAATTGTTGCGGTCATTTTCCAAATAAATAATGTGGCCAATGTGAGAAACTAGGTGATAGACTCTGGTGCTACTAGGCATATTTGTGCAGACAAAAATAATTTTTTGTCTAACACACAAGTTGAGGAAGGAGAAGAAACTATTTATCTTGGTGGCCCAAGAATAACTCGCGTTCTTGGAAAATAAAACATTCTTCTCAAACTCACATCTGGTAAAACTCTAGCAATGAGTGATATATTGCATGTTCCTAATATCCAAACCAATTTGGTTTCTTTGGGATTATAAGAAAAAGTTGGAGTGAAGGTTTCTTTCGAGAATGATGAGGTCGTATTGATAAAAAATAATAATTTTGTGGGTAATGGATATTGTAATCATGGTTTATTTATGCTTAATGTTTCTGATACTAGATATGAAATGCATCTTCTTCTGCTTATATGGTTGGGTCTGTTTCTTTATGGCATGCTAGACTAGGACATGTTAATGTTGCGTATATAAAGAAAATGCAGTCACTAGGATTAATATATGGTTTAGACTCAAATAATATTAACAAGTGTGAAATATCTGCTGAAGCTAAAAGTACTAGAAAGACATGTTTCTCCGTAAATAGAGAAACTGAATTGTTATCTTTAATTCACACTGATTTAAGCGATTTGAAGCAGACTATGACTAGAGGTGGTAAAAGATATTATGTGACTTTTATTGATGATTTTTCTAGATATACTAAGTTGTAATTGCTTAGAAATAAAGATGATGCATTTAATGCTTTATCTATTCGACGCGGTTTTGCATCCAATAGGCCATGCGCGTGCCCGGTATTCATGAGAGCTCTAGAGACTAGGCCAAAATCTCATAGGAGCGGCCAACTCCACTCTCATATAGGTGAATTCATCAAGTGTATACTGCTTTTAAATACACCATCCATAAGAACTATGAATTTCATTAGAGTTATAACTCGGTCTCTCAATTAGTAGCAGCCAAGCGCTCTCTTTTAGTGCATCGGTGCCAATATCGACTTGTTATTACCCATATGAACCTACTTCATGGGATCTCCGATCACATAGGTTGGGTTACCATCTCTATTAACAACATGTCGGCCTTAACCGCATCTCTTTTGAGGTTTGAAAAATTAATTTTCTCCCACAGGTTTAGTCAGAGGATCGGCCAAATTAATTTCTAACTTTACATAATCAATGAAAATTATTCCATCTCTCAACAGCTGCTTTATGACATCATGTCTCAATTTCATGTGTCTACATTTACAATTATAAGATTTATTCTTTGCTATAGCTATTGCCGCTTGGCAATCACAATGTATAGACACATGAGACAATACGTCCTTTATTAAAGGGATATTATCTAAGAAGTTTCTTAGCCATTCAGCCTTAGAACCAGATAACTCCGGAGCTATAAACTCGGATTCTATAGTCGATCTAGCAATGATCATCTATTTAGCTGATTTCCACGATATTGCACCACCACCAAGGGTGAATACATAACCACTAGTGGATTTTGTCTCATTTGAATCAGAGATCCAGTTTGCATCATTGTACCCTTCTAAGATAGAAGGAAATCCACTATATAGGATACCATAATTCATGGTTCCTCTCAAATATTTCGTTAGTCTATCTAATGCAGACCAGTGCTCTCTGTTGGAATTATGAGTATATCTACTCAGTCTACACACTGCATAGGCTATATCAGGCCTTGTAAAATTTATTAAATGTACCAGACTCCCAATAATCTGAGCATATTTAGACTGAGCAACTGGGTCACCATTATTCTTTTTCAACTGAGAGTTAGCATCAAAAGGAGTGCTCACAGATGTGACATTAAAATATTCAAACTTCTTAAGAAGTCTCTCAACATAATATTCTTGTGACAATATTATTTCATCTTCGTTCCTTATAACTTTGACTCCCAATATCATATTTACTTCACCCAGATCTTTCATATCAAAATTAGAAGACAAAAATAATTTAGTACTTTGTACAATATTTAAACTTGTACCAAATATAAGCATGTCATCAACATATAGACATATTATCACATAATCATTACCACCTTAGTATAAACGCATTTATCCACTTCCACTGAAGAAAAGCTGTCGCTCAATAAGACTTGTTCAAATTTCTCATACCACTGCTTAGGAGCTTGTTTAAGGCCATAAAGAGATTTAATTAATTTACAAACTTTATTTTCTTTTCTAGGAATGACACAGCCTTTAGGTTGTACCATATAAAAATCTTCTTCTAAATCACCATTTAGAAAAGCAGTTTTAACATCCATTTGGTGGATAAAAAGCTTATGGATTGAGGCTAAGGCAATTCAAACTCGAATAGAAGAAATTCTAATCACTGGCGCAAATGTATCAAACCAATATATATTTTGTTTTTGAGAAAATTATTTTGCTACTAACCGAGCTTTATATTTATCTAAGGATCCATCAGGATTAAATTACTTTTATGAATCCATTTACAACCAATAGGCTTTGCACCAGGAGGTAAATCATGTATTATTTTTCAAAATAGAATCGATTTCAACTTTTATTGCCTCTTTCCAATATTTAGCATCTGAAGAAGATATAGCTTCAAAATAATTTGATGGATCATTATTGACAAGAAAAGTTTGAAAATCATTTCCATAAGAAAAATATCCTTTCCTAGTCCTTTTGCTGAGTTCTTTGAATATATTTATCCATTGTCTGATAAAATTTCTCATACACCAGTTGAATTATATTTCACCAGTAATTCTGTGAGTTAAATTTTATTGATCTAAGTTTGGTTCATAGTCCAAAAGACACCAAACCTATTGCATTTGGACCATACAAATCCAGCAAATCTTACTCCTCTTTATATGAAATTTTTTAAAAATATGTGGGGAAACTGTTGTGATATTTCCAAAAATTGGACAAATGTCCTTCTATGTGGCACCCTTTGGACAAATGTCCGCATTCTTGCATGAGACATTGAAGACAAGTGTTGTACACTTGTCATGCTCTAAGCTTCACTTAAAGGCTATAAATAGGCCTTCAAAATAGCCATCGATCATCAGCATTTTCCTTTGCCTTTTTCGTTCCTCTTCAGCTTCTTTTCTTTTCCTCCTTAAACTTTTGTAGTCTACTTTTTTTGTTCTCTCTTTTAAATAGCTGAGTTTGTAATTTAATATTTTTGTTAATTCCTGTATCCTCTACATAAATAGAGATGTGCTTGTTTAATCATGGAGAAACATTTCACATTGCTGAAATAGTTTCTTAGGACGGTGCCTAGCACGACTCAAGCCAATTCGTGTATCTAATTACAAATAATATTATTGTAGTATTATTATCGTTATTTCCGGTGTCATTTCACTCAGCAACTAGAAAACCTCATGAAAACTGGATTGAATATATTGTTACCCTTGTAACAATTTTATGGTTTTTGATCAAGAATAGAGCTTTGTGGTAAACAAAGAACCTTTATTGTACAGGGCATTTAAAATTGCATGTCTTGTTCGTGTTATTCCCACCAGATGATCTGTATATAAAGTGGAAGAACAGTCCCCTTTAGCTAGTTTGAGACGCTTATTTAGACTTGGATTTGGTAAAGGGAACGCTTTCTTTTGCTAGTTCAATTTATGCATCTCAGTTGCAAAAGAAATCCCAGAAATTTATTGAGGAAAAGTGAAATTGGTCTTAGTCTCAGATCTCATACACGGGCAAGCTCTTATTCTACCTGTGCTGATCAGTACCTTGATCATGCCTGGTGTCAGGGTTAGTAAGCAAAAACCTATAATCATTCGAGCATAATTACCTTTCAACTGATGCTTCATCAGTATGGCAGCCCTCCAAAGGCTGAGAAGATTCTTTTATTGAGTGAACTGGTGCAGTACATAACTTAAGCGGAAGTTTGGGTTAAAACACCTATATACAAGGCGTACACCAAAAAGTGGAAAACCTACCAAAAATATATGGTTATTTTTTTTTTACAAATGACACCCACTCTTCGATATAACGAGGAGCCTCATGGGTGAACCAAGAAAAAGGGATAAGAGGCTATCAATGATGCAAAATCAATTTCTACCCCTTCAACAACTCTCATGTTTCTCGCCAAACAACCCACATGAGTACTAGGTGGACTAACTCCCCACGCCTTACGTCTTCATCTCCATCTTCCAGTTGAACATTTCTTACAGTAACTGGCATCACCAGAGATATACCAAACAATCCCAGAATTAGCAAGAGACTCTCCTACAATATAGAGGAAAATGATGGACGTCTTCCCCCGTGACCTTACCTATATAGCACTAACAAACATAAGTAATCTCCCTCTTCCTCAAATTCTCAGCCGTCAAAATCATCCCTCTTGTGGCTAACCAGGTAAAAAGGCACACATTTCTCGATATGTTAGGGATCCAAACTGAGATGTAAGGAGAAGCTACCTCCTCCCTAGTCCAAGATTCTCATAACATGAGTTAACAGAAAACCCTCCAAGGTTCCCCACCCTCCAATATCGTGGCAGTCATGTGATGTGCTTTGTTTGTGAAGTAATTCAATGCGGCTTTGAAATTCTGACACCTTCCAATCTTGCAAGTCCATCCTATAGCCTCCGGATTCGTTGAAATGTTACCTCCTGCTGGCAAGTTCTGCAAATGTTTAGAAAAGCAAGCCTCAAAATGTTAACCCCACACCGCCAGTGCCCCAAAAAACGTAACCACCCCCCCCCCCCCCCCCCAAAGACACATTAGCACTAAACTCTTCTCACCCCCTCAAAATATTCCTCCACAACCCACTCCCACAATGCTCGTAAAGAACATAACCGTGAGGGATTGTCAATAAAACACTTGATACAACTCATCTCCTCATGGATAAATGACGATGGCGCTTCAAGTTCTGTTTTCCTCGAGCCCTGTGGATAAAATCAGTGTCACCAGCTGGGGCAGAACGCTTCTTCATGAGCTCTTTTCGCACTTGAGCAATTGGAGCAGATCTGCAAGTTCCTTTATTTGTTTTAACTTGTCGGAACTTAGCAGTAAAGTTTCGATTTGAGCTTGATTGACTCGAGTTTGACATCTGACATTGAAGTTTTTCGATCTGTTCTTGAAGTTGAGAAGGTGAATATTCCAACTGAAGACCACGATCCACAATATGTCTAACTGCATTTCTTAGTGCATTTATTTCATAACTCATAGCCTTCATCTGCGAAAAAGATAGATCAAACTTGATTTTCGACTTCAGAAGAAATGATCATGAAGTTATTTGCCAAAGAGGAAGAGAACGCTACATACTTGGGCTCGATGAGGACTATTTCCAGCATGAAGTATTTGCTTCGCAATCTCTTCTGAGTGTCTTACATAATCCCTCAGGAGCATCACTGGTGAAACCAAGTTAACAAGATCAAACTCATAGACATAAGTAAATGCCACCATCCACTGCTTTTTATTTATAAGATTTTGGACAAAACCTGTAACTCAAAAAAGACAAAAAAAGGAAAGAAAATATCAGTCAGATAAATCCAAAGGCTGTTCAGTCTTTGGTTATATTCAGTAAAAACGAAGTGAGTAGTGTAAAATGTTCCCTGTCAACTGAAGTGCCCAGTACAAGAGTCAGATGAAAACATCAGCTACAGTAACAACTTAATTTTTGTTCAAATAGCGGGTCACAGATATAGAAATTGCACGTTAAAGGAACAAGAATTTTAGCCAATGCTGATGATGTCAAATATCAAACCACACCCTCAAAATAACTCAACTGAATGCATTTTCTAGTTATATTGTACATCGAAAGATTTGGAAACATCACAGAATAAACGAAAAGCAAACAAAGGTTTATCAGCTTCAAAAATTCTCATCAACTTTATTCTGAGAAGATCAGAACTCCTCTTCAAATATGCCAAAGAGATACAATTCAAAAGACTAGGATGCTATTCAAGCATTCAATCACTAGGTACCTTTTCTTTCAGCAAATAACATAAAACAACTATGCCTCACAATCAAACTAGTCGGGGTCGCCATATAAATCCTCACTATCCATGTCACTCTATTTAAACTCGTCTTAAACAATATTTAACAATTGAAGTTCATTGACACTAGATGTTCTCTATCTTTTCTACTGGTATACAAATCCTAACAAGATAAACTCCTAATATTGGACCTAAAGTAAGCGTAATAATAATACCAAGCCTTAATCCCAACTAATTGGTATTGCTATATGGATCTTTTCTTTCATTATACTCCATTTTCCGCTAAGTTCGGATGGATCCGAAGAGATTATAGGTCTTTCGAGATAAACCTCTTTCCATGTGATTTAAGGTCTACCTTGTTCCCTTAACACCTTCAATCACCATGGTTACACACCTGCAGACCAGTACATCTCAAGATCTACATAGGCTATGACTAAATTATCGCAAGCGAACTTCTCTTATTTTATCCACTATGTGTGCTACTTTCACCTTTTGTCAAATGTGGTTGTGCAACCTTTTATGACTGTTGATTCATCCTAAATCGATTAGTTTTAAGCTAGCAGTCAACCTGTCTCGACTCTGCTGCTTTATAAACTATGTGAGAAGGCTCTCATAGATAGGGTTATTTCGGCTAATTGCATAGACCTATCGAATGTCAAGATCACGGTCGCCAAGGAGTAATTTCATATGTTCCTTGGAAGAAGTAAAACCAATTTCTACAACGGGAAAAAATCATCATAAAAAATGAATGCTAGTCATAGAATGTCTGATCAAATTATTCCTTTTTTTGTAGTATGCATAATATATAACAACAAGATGAATCCTACAAATTCAGTCGCCTCAAAGGACAACAACAGGATCTAAATAACTAATTAAAAAGGCAATAATATTATAAAATAGGAAGCGAAATTCCAAAACAAATGAGAAATGAACACAGGTAGAAATGTGTGACCCTTCATATGACAAGCAGCAGTGCAGCACATTATTCATATTAGGAGGTGACTGTATGTGTACACAGGCAAGTACATTTCAAAGTGAAACAAACAATAGAAAGAGAGAGGAACATACATCGGATCTTATCTGTCAACCCAAGGATTTTGAACAAAGTAACAACCCTTTCAGTTGGTTGAACTTTCTCCAAAAGACCAAAAAGTGCATCTGAATGGAAAGAGTCTATTATTTTATAAATAGCTAAAAGCTGCACAAATGCCAAGAACTCGGATGTATTTAGCTGGGACCCGATCAATGTAGAATACCAATCAACTGCAAACGCAATAGCCCCCGCTTTAACATGAGGTTTAATTTCTGGAGAAACTTCACTCAGCTGGTCCAACAGATCAGAGAAGCTCCGCATAACTGATGGGAAGTTTTCACACCTCCCTAATTTTGTGGGATGACAACTCCGGAAAGCATCCAGTACAAGCAAAGCAGGATCTGATGTACGATGTAAACTTGAGGCACAATTGCAGATTACATCATGTCCTTCGCATTTCATATCCATGTTGTTGCAAATAGATTCATCTGCACAGCCTTGAGCCTTGTGTCTCTTCGATTCTTCTATAGAAGGAAGATCATCACTTACTGGAAAGCCAATATTAACACAAACTCTAGGAAAAAATTTGACAATACCATATACAAAATTCTTAGATCTGATTACTTACTTGAAGTATTATTTGAAATACCAAGGACGTGACAGATTTCAGATGTATTCACAAGCGGTGATACCTTGTGATACAAACTCTCAAGTTCATCTTTATCGAAGGGAGATGCCAATCTGTAGCTACCTACAAGAAGAAGAAAACCCAAGATTGCCAAATGGTTTTCCATTTCACCCATCATCTTTGCTTTCCAGGCAAATGCAAGCTTGCTTGCTTCTAACTTAGCCTCTGGTTTAATCCCCGGCAAAAGTTCCATGAACTGTTCTAACAAAAGAATGCAACTCTGCCTGATAATATTACGATTAAATTCAATCTCTTCCTTCTGATAGTCTGGAGGATAAAACCCTACCAGTGCTTCTAACACAAGCATCCCCGAGTCCAGTGACATTAGAAGAGCACTAAAGACTTCACTGCGCAACAACTTGTGCTCCTTCAAATGTTTGTTTAAGAAATTCTGCAAATCCTCTCCACTCATGTTCATAAGGATAATGGCCATAGAATTGGAATGACCTAAAGTGCACGAGGGGGTTCTAGCAGAGAATGATGCGGAATTGAGGGCCTTGGTGCCTGTGGGACTAGATGGATTAGTAGAACCCATCTGATTCACATTTGCTTGCTCTGGCGTTTTAGCCTCATAAATGGCACATAATGCAGCTTGATCTTCCTTCTGCCTTGTAAGCACTTCTATACATTCTTCAAGGTGTTCTATCGGATATTTAGACTGAAGTTTGTAATTCAGAATACATCTGATAACAGCGCTAATAGAAGCAACCCGTTGTTCAATGGCCTCAATCTATTTGCAAAATGTTAGATAAAACATTATACAAATGAGTCTTAAAGGAGGGGGTTAGAACATTGGCAACAGAAGTGGCATAATACCTTTTCTTCGAATGAGCAGGTCTCTTTCTCGCAGACATTCACATAATTACGTTCAACATATTCCACGTAATTTTTCAGAATGGCTGTGGATGGGAACTGGTCCACAAGTCCAAATGCATAAGCATATCTAATAGCTTCAAGATGTTGTTGCTGGGTTAAAAGATTCAGGACAAAACCTGTAATCAGAACGAGTAGGTTGTTTTAGTTCGAAACAAGCTTTCCCAAAGAATGCAAGGGCAGTGCTTCAGATCTTGCTGAGGAGAAAAAAACAAATTAACTGCTGGATTTTGAGGTGTGTAGTTATCGGGAAAAGGAGTGGTTGCTAAAACATGACCAAGTGCACAATCTTTTCATCTTTATTTTGACAAGTCCACATCTAGATCCATTACTCTTATACATATGTGGCATACATTCAAAGTTTGAATATAGCCCCATCAACAACATCATACCCAGTATAATCCCATAAGTGGGATCTGGGGAGGGTAGTGTGAAAGTAGACCTTACCTCTACCTCGTGGAGGTAGAGAGGTTGTTCTCGGAGACCCCCAGCTCAAGGACAAAATGAAAAGGATTGAATATAGCCCCATACTATGTGAAATAAGGTACTTATAGTTGGTAAGAAAGAGTTAATACTTCAAAATAATCGTCTTATAGAAATAGACACAGTTTCTAACATCAAGAGACAAGGAAGCTTTCAAGTTAGTGCAAGAGCTAAGAAATTCAAGTAATTCTAGGAAAAGAGATCATTAATAAGATGATATAAACTAATCTTTTGTTCAGCTGAAAAGTTGCAATTGCTTTACTTAAGGGTGATTCTGCTTTTCTAAGCCATATCTAGGTTACATATGAAACTGGAGTAATTTTGTTGTGTCCATTCAACATACTGCCAAAATATACAGAAGCTGGTAGAAATGATGGGGTGCAAGATAAGACAATTTCCTACTATATACTTGGGGTTGCCTTGGGAACTATGTTTAAATCAGTTAAGGTTTGGCAGGGAGGAGTAGAAAAGTTTAAGAGAACGCTGGACACTTGGCAGTTTGCAGACACGGTAATATAATTATCCGATGCTGATAGAATTCTCACCTATCTCATGTCAATATTTCCAAACTCTACATAAAGTTCATAAGCAATTGGACAAAATCAGAAGAAAATATTCATATGAAAGGAATTGCACCAAAAACAAGTTTCATCAGGTCATATGGGAGAGGGTTATGCTGCCAAAGCAGGGAGGGATGGGAATCAGATTTTAGCAATAAATAATAAAAGTCTACTTATGCAAAAAGGAAAATGTAATTAGCCTCTACACATAAATCTTTTTCGTTTTTCAACTTTTATGTAATCATAAAAAAATTAAAAAAAATTAAAAAGAAGAGGAAGAGAGTTGGGTAAGGTCATGTCCTCGGGGGGTGGGAGGTAAGGGTGCTTCCAGGCTGAGAGAGTTAGGTATTGAAACATATGGACCTTGACGGGGAAGTCTATAGAGTTAGCGAAGATTCTCCATAAGAGGAAGATCGATATAGCTTGTCTCTAGGAGACAAGATGGGTGGAAGATAAGGCACCGAGTGTAGAAGGGATTAAATTATGGTACTCTGGTCGCGTGGGGCCAAGAATGGGGTAGGCATTTTGGTTGATAGGGATCTTCGGGAGCTAATGGTGGAGGATAGGAGGGTGAGCGACAGGCTAATGAGTATTAAGCTAGCCGTTGGGCGTTTTACTTTAAATGTGATTAGTGCATACGCACCCCAAGTGTTGGACGAGTAGGTTAAGAGGTGCTTCTGGGAGGACTTCCATGAGGTTGTGCGTGGTATCCCGCACACTGAGAAGCTTTTCATAAGAGGAGATTTCAAAGGCCACAGTGGGGCGGCATTTGAAGGTTACGATGACGTGCATGGAGGCTTTGGTTTCGGAGTTAGGAACGGAGGAGGAACTTCGTTGTTGAATTTTGCAAAGGCGTTTGATTTGGTGATAGCTAACTCGAGTTTCCTGAAGGAGGAGGAGTATTTGGTTACTTTCCAAAGTTCGGCAGCCAAGACTCATATTGACTATCTACTCTTCAAAAAATCTGATAAAAGTCTATGCGTGCGCGGACTGCAAGGTCATCCCGAGTGAGAACCTCATGACCCAACATAGGCTCCTGGTCATGGATTTGGAGATTAAATAAAGTAGGGATCTCTGACTCAGGAGTTGAGGGATAAGTTGTTGGCTATGGGGGCAAGGAAGCGTAGTGGGACGTGAGTGGTATGTAGACCGCGACTGCGAATTGCTTTAGGGAGGCTGATAGGGAGGCATTGGGGATCTCGAAGGGCCCATTTGGTGGCCGCAAAAGGGACTGGTGGTGGAGCACTGAGGTCCAAGGTAAAGTGGAAACCAAGAAAGCAACTTATTTGAAGTTGTTGGAGAGTGTGGACGAGGAGGATAAGAGGACAAACAGGGAGCGGTATAAGGTGGCCAAGAAGGAAGCTAAGTTAGCAGTTACTGTGGCTAAGACTGTAGCGTTTGAGCGTCTGTATGAAGAACTTGGAGGCAAGGGAGGGACAAGAAGCTGTACAGGCTAGCCAAGGTTCGAGAAAGGAAGGCCCTGACCTGGACCAAGTGAAGTGCGTCAAGGATGAGGAAGGTAGAGTGTTGTTGGACGACGCACTTATTCGACAGAGATGGCAGACTTACAAAAGTTATTCACCTTATTAGGAGGTTCATGGAGCAATATAGAGAGAGAGGGATTTACATATGGTGTTAATCGACTTAGAGAAGGCTTACGATAAAGTGCCGGGAGAGGTGCTGTGGAGATGTTTGGAGGCTAGAGGCATTCATGTTGCATACATAAGGGTTGTTAAGGACATGTACGTTGCCGCTAAGACTCGGGCGAGCACAGTGAGAGGGGACTCGAAACACTTCCCGGTTGTGATGGGGTTGTATCAGGGGTCAGCCCTCAGCCCATTTCTGTTTGCCTAGGCGATCGACGCACTGACGCGTCACATTCTAGGGGAGGTGTCATGGTGCATGTTATTTGCAGATGATATTGTACTGATTGACGAGACGTGATGTGGTGTTAATGAGAAGTTAGAGACTTAGAGATAGACCCTGGAGTCTAAAGGTTTCAAGTTGAGCAGACCAAAATAGAATACTTGGAGAAGTGTTTTGAAAAGCAAGCGTTTCGTCACTTTAAGCGCGAAGCGAGGCGAAGCGAGAAGCTGTCACTTTTTCCTTACTGAAGCGACACGACCAGCAGAAGCGATCGCTTCAGCCAAAAAAGCGAGAAGCGACCCAGAAGCGAGAAGCGCAGAAGCGCTCGCTTCTGTTAAGAGGGGCCATTTTGAAAAAGAAAAAAGTTTGGGTCTTTCTTTTTGTTATACAAAACAGACCCAAAGTGAAAAGATCTTCTTTGTCTTGCCAAAAATTGAGCGTTAGCAGCAGCAGCCAACTAGGGTTCAGCCTCCAGGTAATTTTTCTCTTTTATTCTTCTTTCTTCTTCTGATGATGATGAACGTTAGCAGCAGCAGCCAACTAGGGTTCAGCCTCTAGGTAATTTTTTATCTTTTATTCTTCTTCTTCTCTCTCCTCTTTTTCAGTTTTTCTCGACCAGTGTCTGCGCTAGGGCAGGCGTTGGTTTTTCCCCCCTTTTATTCTTCTTATTTATTAATTTTAATATGTATTTTAGTTTATAAAATTAATTATTTTATATATATATATATATATATATATATATATATATTATATTTTCAGTTTATTTGATTAATTTTATATGTACTTCAGTTTATAAAATTAATTATTATATATATATATGTTATTTTTCAATTATTTGATTAATTTTATATGCATTTTCAGTTTATAAAATTAATTATTATATATATATGATATGTTATATTTTCAGTTTATTTGATTAATTTTATATGTATTTTCAGTTTATTTGATTATGTATTTTCTTATATTAATAGGGATTTAAAAATGTCCCAAAGTTTTTGAATTGAATTTTTGGATTATTTATATCGTGTCTTTGCAATGTTTACATTATGTTTTTTAAAAATTGCGCTTCACTTCAATGAAGCGTGCGCTTCGCTTTTAAAGCGAGGCGAGCCCCTATCGCTTTTTTGCGCTTCTCGCTCTCAAAAACACTGACTTGGAGTGCAAGTTCAGTGGCGCGACTCGGGAAGTGGATGTGAGGCCTGATTCACAAGTCATCCCTTTGAGAGAAAGTTTCAAGTACCTTGGGTCTATTATACAAGGGAATGGGGAGATCGACAAGGATGTCACACATCGGATTGAGACGGGATGGATGAAATAGAGGCTCGCTTCCAGTGTTCTGTGTGATAAGAATGTGCCACCAAAACTGAAAGGTAAGTTCTATAGAGCAGTAGTCAGACCGACTATGTTGTATGGGGAGGAGTATTGGCCACTCAAGAACTCCCATGTATAGAAGATGAAGGTGGCTGAAAGGAGGATGTTGAGATGGATGTGCGGGCATACCAGGTTAGATAGAATTAGAAATGAAATTATCCGGGACAAGGTAGGTGTGGCCCATGTGGAGGACAAGATGCGGGAGGCGAGACTTAGATAGTTCAGGCGTGTGAAGAGAAGAGGCATTGATGCTCCGGTGAGGAGGTGTGAGAAGGTGGCATTGGAGGGCCAACGGAAAGGTAGAGGCAAGCCGAAAAAGTATTGGGGAGAGGTGATTAGGCAAGATATGGTGTTGCTCCGGCTTACTAAGGACATGACTGTGGATAGGAAAGTGTGGAGGTTGAGAATAAAGGTAAAGGGTTAGGCAACCCAGTGTAGTCCTTGTTTGTAACAGTGGCTTTGACACACCACTTAATGTCTTCTGAGTATTTTCGTATTCCTAGATTTCTGTTACTACTTGTTGTTTCTTACTTCGGTTTTCTACATGCATCACCTAGTGCTAGTTTTGTATTTTCGCTTCGGTTGTCAATTCGATTTGCTTGTTATTGCCTCTCCCATTTCCCTTACTGAGCTGAGGGGCTACCGGAAACAGCTTCTATGCCTTCTTAAAGGCAGGGGTAAGGTCTGCATACACTCTACCCTCCCCAAATCCTACTTGTGGGACTACACTAGGTATGTTGTTGTAATTTTTATGTAATCAGGTCCTTGTACAAGATGCAGATGACATTATCAACCTAATGCACGAATTGTATAGTTTTTTCGCAAGCACAATCTTTGTGATGTTTTGATTCCAATAGATTCTTACTCTTATCAAAGAAACCTAAAAGCCTTCTTATGAAATGGCTATGGAGATATGGCGATGAACAAGGAGCACGCTGGAAGGAAATTATCAAAGCAAAGCATGTTGAGCGATGTCACTGGAGCACTAAAGTGAATTCAGCAACATATGGTATTGGGGCCTGGAAGCATATTAGCAAACTATGGCAGGAATCGTTTCTGAAGTGTCCTTTGAAGTGGTAGATGGATGCTAGTAAATAGTTAAATACCAACACACTTACCAGGTAAGTTCTGTTTCATACCAAGAGAACCACATAATTCTGCAAATTTGTCATGCTTAGCAACAATCTCCAGCAGGATCATAAGATCATCTACCTTAAAGGAAGAAACCAAATTGTACGCAGCCAAAAGATACAAGAACCCCAAGATCTCGTGTTGGTTCCCTTTTGTCACCTTCATCTTAACCCTCCAATCCCTTGCAATATTTCTTGCTACTCCCCTCACAAAATCCCGAATCTCTGGTGAAACCCTAATTAACTGCTCTAACAGCAGAATGCAGCTCCGTCGGGCAACACTGCCCTCAAACTCTGTTTCTCCCTTACTCAAATGGGGAGGATAGAAACCTTCCATTGCATCAAGAACCAGTTGTGCAGGGTCAGGAGACATCTGAAGAGCCTTAAAAACTTCATCAGACATCAAATCCAGCTCCTTCTCATGCTCATTTAAGAATATCTGCAAACTCTTTCCATCCATTATCACAACAAAACTTGTAACAGTAGAATTACCTACAATAGCATTGACCCTGTCCAGTGCTACTTCTTCCGCAGGCTCTGACTTTATGTGCGCACTAGGAATAGCATTCAACTGCTTCTCTTTCCCTCCGAGCTCTTTACACCTATCCTCAAAATGTTTCTCCCTTGATTCAAGCTCTTCTAATCTATCCTTAACCCTTTCCTCTCTAAGTATAACTTCTTTCATGCGTTGCTCAAAAAGTCCCTGCTCTACCAGGAATATTTTCTTTTCTGATTGAAAGTCCTCATAGTTTTTTTTTGTAAATTCCTCTAGTGAATCCAGTTTCTTCTCCTTTGAATTAAGTTCTTCAAACCGCTGCTTATATGCTTCTTGAATAGAATCAAGTTCTCTCTCCCTCAAATTGAGTCTCTCATTGAATGACTTCAAGTTTTCCTCGTGGAGTTCAAGTTTCTTCTTCATTACATCATGAAATTTCTCCTTGTGCTCAAGTTCCTTCTTCATTGAGGACAAGAAGACCTCCTTAGATTCAAGTTGCTTCCTAAGAGCAATCAAGTTATCTGCTTCAGCTTTGAATTCCTTCTTCACTGACTCCAATTCATTCTCCTTCTCCCTCAGCTCCTTTTTCACAAAATCCAAGTTTTTTTCCTTTTCTTTAAGTTCCTTCATCACAATATCTAAGTTATTTTCCTTCAATCCCAATTCTTTCTTCATATTATCCAACATATTTTCCTTAACAGAAAGTTCCTTCTTCACCGCATCCACGTTAATTTCCTCCTCCCTTAGCTCCTTTTTAACGAAATCTAAATTTTTTTCCTTCTCTTTAAGTTCCTTCATCACATTATCTAAGTTACTTCCCTTCAATTGCAGTTCTTTCTTCATACTATCCAACATGTTTTCCTCATAAGTAAGTTTCTTCTTCAAAGAATCCAGGTTAGTTTCCTTCTCCCTTAGTTCCTTTTTTGCATAATCCAATTTTTTTTCATTTCTCTAAGTTCCTTCTCCAAATAGTCCAAGTTACTTTCCTTCACTCTTAATACTTTCTTCACACCTTCCAACCTGTTTTCCCTAACAGCAAGTTCCTTGTTCACGGATTCCACGTTATTTTCCTTTTCTCCAAGTTCTTTCTTCAAAATCTCCAATTTACTTTCCTTAACTCTTACTTCTTTCTGCATACTATCCAACCTATTTTCCTTCACAGCAAGTTCCTTGTTCATAGATTCCAAGTTAATTTCCTTTTCTCTAAGTTCTTTCTTCATTATCTCCAATTTACTTTCCTTCAGTCTTACTTCTTTCATCACACCATCCAACCTACTTTCCTTAACAGCAAGAGCCTTCTTCAGAGGTTCCAAGTTATTTTCATTCTCCATTAGTTCCTTTTTCACAGATTGCAAGTTATTTTCATTCTCCCTTAGTTCCTTTTTCACATAATCCAAGTTATTCTCCTTCACCCTCAGTTCTTTCTTCACGTTATCCAACTTACATTCCTTTATCACCAGCTCTTTATTTAAAGATTCCAACCCCATTTCCCTATCCTCAAGTTCCTTCTTCATGGACTGCAAATTATGTTCCTTGACTTTAATTTCTTCCATCTTTTCAGCCAATTCTTGATCTTTCAACTCAAGGGCATGTGTTTCATGGTGAATCCAACTCTGAATCCTATTCAAATTCTTCTCTTTCAACCTAATTTGAATTAATTTTTCCTCCACACGCCTGTTTGTTTCCGCTCGAATTCAACCTCATCCCAAAGCCTTTCCACCACCTTCTCCTGATCATTCAGCTTCTCCTCCCTTAACTTCACAGTCTCAGCAAACCCTTTTCGTGCCAAACTCAAATCCTTCCACTTCAACTCCAATTCCTCCTCTTTCCTCTCAACTTCTTCGCGTTTTAGTTCGACTGATTCCCTAATAGCATTGAGTTCCTTCAAGCTCTCCGCCACTGATTCTTGAACTGATCCTAAATGCATCTCCTTGGATTCCATCTCATTGAAGCATTCCTTCAAACACTTGCTGGATAAATTTAAGTCCTTCTCAAGAGTTGCCCATTCCGAAATTAACTTAAATATTTTTTGACTTAACTCCACCGTTTTCTCCTCATTGTTATGCAATGCTTCCGATATCTTTTCCAGTACACCCATATTGCTTCACCAACATACATACAAACAAACAAAAAAAGACAGATATTTAACAGTTAATACAGTACAGAGAGGGGGAAAACTCAGAATTTAGCGTAAAATAACAGTTAACAAGAGTGCCGAAACGGAGAATTTTGTTTGAAAACTGAGATTTTGGAAGCAGGAAAACTTCTATGGGAAGTTAAAGAAGGGTTCGTAGAGAACAGTAAAACAAAACGGAACTGGAAAAGGGAAAAGTAAGTTTCCGAAGAGATGCATGCGGATTCCGGCTGTTTTGACGATTGATTGACGTGGGTCCATCTGTCTTACTTTTCGCTTTCTTCTGTTTTCCTTTTTTTTATTTTTTTTTTAATTCCTCGTCAAAATGGAGTATCTAATTTAGAAGTCGGTCGATGTATCTTTAGCTCATTTGTTTTGAATTTTGATCTATATATGATACTTTTTATATTTTAAAACATTACACACTATTGCATTAATATTAGTATTATTTCTGCAACAAGTAAAACTCGTTTGATTTGATATTAGAAGAAATAGGTATGGTATAAATTTTAATATTGCTTTATCTAGTGTTTAATTTGTATTTTAAATTTTGAATATAAAATATTTATGTACCTAATTTAATAAGGGCGAAAATCATTTACATTCCCCAAGTTTACTCTAAGAATCAAACTCACCCTTTAATTTTGAACAATTGTCATTTTCATCCTTTCATCCTACACAATTCTATTTTACCCTTGACATTTTAGACTCCCCATATATGTAATATTTTTTTTATATTATTTAAATATTTTTTAATGCAGGTATTTATTCCTATTTTTAAAAAAATTATATCTTACTATATATTTAATCTAATCTCGCTAACAATATAAATAAAATAATCAAATTAGAAATTTATTACAAAATATATTGCTGCTTTATTATTATTATTATTATTTTAATATTTGTATAATAAAATGTAAATTATGTATGTCGGTGTGTGTGTAATTTTAAGTTCCACGATTTTTATTAATATATATGTGTATATAAATTTAGAGTTCTAATTATTATAACTAGATTTTTAAAAAAAAAAAAAAAATATATATATATATATATATATATATAATTAAAGTTCATGTAAAGTGTAAATTGATAATTTTTGCAAATTTATTATAATATTTACCTATATTTTTCGTCCATTATATTTTGATTTAATGCATTGTATAATTTATAAAACGTTCACTCTCTTTTATTCTCAATTTTGTAAATTGATTGAGTTTTGACTGCTATTACAAGTAGATTATTTATTGTAATTTTTATTTTTCTCATTTATTTCACTAATGAACATCATTATGGCCTCATTTGTTTGTACTTGATGGAGGTTTGAATCTTAATCATTCAAATCTTAGACATTAAGTGTGTTTGTTTTTAAAGTTTGAATCTTAATTATTCAGATCTTAATCATTAAGTGTGTTTGTTTTTTTAACTTGACAACCACTTAATAGGTCCGAATAGGTCTGTATGATCAAGATCTATAATAGAGACTTAATTTCATTAAGATGATATCACATATTCATTATTACCTGCCGCCACGCCTACCATTATCAACTACCACCATGCCGGCGCCACCACCATGCTCAACCACCACCACCACCACCTTCACCACAATCACGCCACCATCATCCTCAATCATAGATGCCACAATTATCGACCATCACCACACACTATCCCCACCACTTTGACCACCATCATTCTCACCCACAATCAACAGTCATCCACCTCAACTACCACAACTAACCATCCAATCACCATCAACAACCACAGTCGGCACTGCTCATCATTATAACCTACAACCACCCACTCACCACCTTCATCGGTCACAACTACTACCATCACCCACTATTATTAACTATCACTACCCACCACCACAATCCTCAATCATAATCGCCACCACTACCAATCACTACTAGCTACTAGCATGAACCACCGTCATCAACCAAAACTACCACCAACTACTGTCTCTAGTCGGCATTCACCAGTTAGCCATCACCGCCAACAACTATCATATTTTAAAATACTATATATTTTATTGATAGAATATTAGATTAGTTAGTATTTCATTTGAATTTTATGTTTATTAATTTTCAAATGAAGATAAATTTTATACATTCAGATGTTAAAAATCAAACAGTCTTAATTATTTAGTATTCATATCTTAATACACATCTTATATATGAGATGTGTATTCAGATTCAGACATCTTAATCTTAAAAAAATAAAATAAATGAGGCCTAACTCATTATGCTTGACTACTACTTCTCACTTTTTTTTGGTTTCCAAAATGTTTTTAAAAATGTGTATAGGTAAGTCAATAACATAAATTAAAATAAGAAAATATCATTATATATAAGAATTAAAATAAGTGATAAAAATTGTAGAGGTTAAAGTAGGCATTTTAAGAAGTCACCTTTGATATGAGGAGCAAAATGATAATTATTTAAAGTTGGAGGATGAATTTTATTTTAAAGTAAATTTGGGGAATGTAAATAGTTTTCACCCTTTTTAACAAGGAATAAACGCACTTTATCTTACCTCGAAATATTAGGATTAGACTTTCACCTTCCAATTGAATTCTACGACCTCAAATTTTTAACAAGTATCTCTTGGACTCCAATTAAAATAAATGATCATTTCTCTTTATTCTTAATACTTTCAATCCATTAATAAGAGATTTCACAAGTATCAGAAAACCTTAGGAAAGGAAGCTCACACAGATTTCTTTCTAAATTTTCTGGATTCGTGCATATCACAAACTACAAAAGCTCATAATAGTAATTTAAAACAAAGTTGGAATATATCAGTGTAATTTGCCCTCTTCGCACTAATCTTATGATTCGTTTGGCCATAGATCTTGCCAAAATATATTTGTATGTTTCTGGGCAAATACATATTTGGTTTGGCCATAGATTTTTTCTACTTTTTGGCAAATTCACAGAACCCAAAACCCAAATCCCAACTAGTTTTGGCCCAAAATATCACTATTATATTTTTTAAAAATTGCCCCAAATTTTTGGATTTTAGAAAGGACCCATCATTTATTATTTTGTAACAATGATGCTTAACCTTCTCGATCATCTGATAGCGTATTATGTAGTTCATTTTAAAAATGATAATTTGTACCAAATCTGTTTATGTTTAAGACTATGGTTTGCGATAATATAATGAATGTTAGGCTAAATACATAAGTTACTCCCTGAATTATGGACCAAATCCCCTTGACACACTTTTTGGTGATGAAAATTAATTTACACACTTAACCTTTTCAAAGTGTAGCGAATACACACCACTTTTATTTTGACCACTTTTTTTAAGAAGGTACCTATCACGTACCAATAAGATTGCAACACGTGTAATTATTTTCTTAAAAATAAAAAACGCATAAAAGTACAATTCTACCCCTATTACCAAAAAAAATTCCAGTTTCTCCATCTTCATCATCTCCCTGAACCATGGGTGACGCCGCCACGAACACCACCAAGACCTTCAAAAGCACTAGTTTATCCTAGCAATTCACCTCTGTACCAAATACAAGTTGTTCTCCACTAGTCAAAACTGCAATGAAGATGCATTGAACCACCACAAAAAGCTATGAACAAAAACTCATAAAAACATGGAGAACAAAACTGCAATTTTTGTAAAAATAAAAACGTTATCACAAAGATGTCAAAATCGCAATTCAAAATTCAAGAATTTCAGCTAATTGCCAAAACCACAAACAAAATCAACAACTCATTGTTGAACTTCTGCCACCCCTGATTACGATTCCATTTTAACTAATAAAATCATTGTTAACATCTGATTTAAGAAGAATTTAGTGAGGAGTATGTGGTAACAGTGGAATCACTGGTTTAGAATGTGGCTATGGAGAAGCTATTGGGAAAAACGAAAAAGAATGGGATTTGAGTAGAAGACTAGGGAAGGTAAAAGAAGGGAAAATTAAGTAAAGAGTAAGACATGGGGGTTGTGGCGGAGGCCAACTTGGAACGACAGTGTTTCGGTGAGGGACATGATGGCAGGGTTTTTTCTCTTTATTTATTTATTTATTTATTAAAATATAAGAATAAAAAGAAAATAGAATAACATCTTGACACGTCAGCTTACATAAGGAATTGGACATAATATACCTAGGTTTTACGCGCTCAATCTTTTTTGTTAAACACGCGCGGGCCATTTGGCAAAAGTGGTGCGTCTTTGACACACTTTGAAAAGGTTGAGCGTATAAAGTAAATTTTGTTCACAAAAAGTATGTAATACGGTTTTGGTCCATAGATCCGGGGGTAAAATATGTATTTTACCATGAATGTCATTGATAAAAGTATTGTTGGGTATTTGTAATAGTTTTTAGAACTTGTGGGTATAAATCATGTTTTATGTTTTTTCAACAAAAAAAAATAAAATATATTTTGAAAACATATGTCCAAACACATTTTCATCTTCAAACCAGACTTCACCCAAATCAAAATTTTCAAAACAAATTTGGGAATCTATGGCCAAACGCTAGCTTTAACTTACTGGATACAATGACTACATAACTAACATGAATATTCTATTTATTCAGTGTTCAAACTTGGAACTTCATGCAATGTGAAGGGGCTGCTCAAGTACATTCACAAGAATGGTGAAAATAACTCCTAACTAATTAATTAATTTGAATACATCATGATTCCGGTCCAACTGTGGAAAAGGCAAAAGCTTATTGCAAAAACTTTTCTGCACGAGTCGGTGCCAGAACACGAAGAAAGCGCGGGAAGCAACATTATACACTCCCATGATCAAGCAAAAAGTTGATTAGATAAGAGCTGCAACACCAAATTGTTGCATCTCTCTAAGCCTCCAAATAGGGTGAAAAGCTGCTTCTCCGAGTTCTTCTGCTTCTACTAGTTGCATAGCCCAAGCGTAGTATACAGTGTGTATTGTATCCTAAACACAGCAAGAAATTTTAGCCATACCAGGGTTAAAAATCAGATTCTGAAGTCATAGCTTTGATGATGAGTTACTACAGATTGATCTATAGCAGATTCCGGTGTATCAGAAAAAAATGTTAAAATTAAATTGATCTATATGCAAAGGTGGACTTGTACAGATAATTTACCATAGAAAAACAAAGAAGTTTCAACAAATGAATCTTGTCTAATGAATAAGCTTTTAAAGTCATCAAATTCAGAAATTCTTGATCGCTGCTTGTTAACCGCGGTAAAGTGTCTCGGCGTGACCTATAGGTCACGGGTTTGAGCCGTAGAAGAAGACATTAATGCTTGCATTAGGGTAGGCTGTCTACATCACACACCCCTTGGGGTGCGGCCATTCCCCGGATCCTGCATGAACGGCTGCCCTTTTTTTACTTGTTAGCATCTTAAGTTCACATGTAGTAACGTGCTTTTACGTATGAAGATCACACTAGTTAACATAGAAAAATGACAATTTGACCACAGGGATTGAAGAAGGCAAATTTGACATCAAGAAGTTTGTGCATGATGCAATTCGATACGAAATACCAAATTGACCAGCAGGGTCAAATAACTGAATAGTCAATGTAGGGCATGAGAATAACAATCTAGAAAAGGGGATAAAACTTACCTTTCCCCCTTCTTTAATTGAACCAAGTTTATCACGTATGCAGTAGACCTGTTGCGTTTGGAACTGCGAAAATTAACCAAGATTACTATCAGGGTTTCTCCATCATTCACATACACTATATGCTTAAAGTCATTGTTAGGTACAAAACCCTTTCAAGAGGTGCATTGGTCCAGACATCAAAAAAATGAGGAAAGATGCTTACCGCCAACATGATTATGTGACTGTACATCAAAAAAGAATAGGGAGAGATGCTTACCGCCAAAATGATTATGGGACTGTCTCCCATCATTTTTGTCTCCCGTACTTCAACATCCGAAATATGCAAAATCTGCATGAATAAGAGAGAGAAAGAGAGGTTAACCATATAGTAGTATAGTTTAGACATTTACGTGTGATAGAAGCACAGAAATATAAAAGTTGCATTTGTCCAACACCACCCTTTTCTTTTGGGAAGGGGGAAGCACGGAAACTCATTTTCAGTAGGTTATGACATTCCTAGTAGCACGGGGAGAAACCACAGGAGAGGAAAAGGGAAGCTTGACACTGGAGATACCAATTAGTACTGAACTCAAGCTATTCAACGGCCCCTTAATATAGTATACCATGGGATGCAAAATGAGAGGTCACAAGTTTCATGCAGAATTTCCAGTTTTAGCATCTTTCCAATGGCGAAAAGTGGAAATCTGGGATGACTTCAAATCAAGGCCACTGGACTATTGCAGAAATGCAGAATCCAATACTTAGATCAAGATCAATAAGAAACAGTAAACAGCAGTACGCAGAGTGAGCAAAAACTGTAACTAATGATGGGCTATAACCTCCAAATAAACAAAAATAGAGCATATAAAAAAACAAAAAAATGGCACCCTACAAAGTTCTAGATTTGTTGAACAGGTTTAAAGACAGAAGTGAGATAATTCTAGTCAAGGATAAGTGCATGGATCATCAGCGTAAATCATCTACAGAAAAGTGTCTCAAATATTTTTAAATTCCCAAAAAATTCTAGTTCTATTAAATTTACTAGCTTTTTGTCCTTGTCTGACATGCTCACAGAAATCTATGAGAATGGATTTGTAACACAGAAAGTTTGAGCAGAGGAGCACACTTCATTTATTGTTACACCCCCCCCCCCCCCTCAGTGTATTTACAAAATATCCAAAATGGAAAATGGAAGCTAATACAATAACTTGCATTTTTCTTACCTTGTTATCAAAAATCATACCCTGGCTATCAAAAGCTTGATGCTCTGCTTTACACCGCTCAATTACCTCTTTGCTGCAATATTTCTTCAACGCCTCTGTATCTCCCTAATGAGCCAGAAAGCAAGATATCGTGTTGAACGAAGATGAAAAACGTAAAATACCAAGTATATCAACATGAGAAGATTCAACAAGTAGTAAAAGACAATATTGTGCTTGGTTCAAGGAAAAGGGAGGGTAACGCAAAAAGATGGATCTATTGATTTACTCCTGAAGTATTTATCCGTCCCTTGAGGTTATATTAAATCTGTCCAACAGGCTGGGATGGCCCGTTCCGGACCGGACCGGTGGTAAATGGGCCGGACAGGGGTGGGATTACGGCTGAACAGGCCTGTGCCGGTGGTGTTTTGGATACCGGTTAACGGGACCGGTTAAAACCGGTAATGTCTTGTCAAATTTGAGCCGGTGGACCGGACCGGCCCATACCGGTTCAACGGCTTGCATATTTTTTATTTTTAATGACATTTGACTGTTGACAACGGTCAGCTCCAATTTTGACAGTCGACCAACGGCCTTAATTGCAAGAATAACCCTTTTTGTTTTTTTTTAAAAAAATAACACTCTTATTATTTACTAATTTAACCCTTTGGAAAACTATAAATAGACACCTTGTCATTCTCTCATTCTTCAACTAAATTGCTATCAACTATTTGGCTCTCATTTTTTTGGAATTCTATTTGTGGTGTTATTTGAAGTTTATTCGTGGTAACGTCAGAGTTGCGAAATTCAATTTCAAGACTTCAAAAATCATAAAGTGTTCAATTTATTGTGGAATTCGGTGCACTCGTTCCAACTCTTTCTCTTATTTAATATTTTATTTGCATATGCAACTTTTTGCATATTAATTTTTAATAGCAGTTAAATTTTCACGATATGTGTAATGCTGCAAAACGAGTTTGTAATAAGGTTGCTAATCGGGTAATCGGGGAAATAGAAAAAGAGGTGCTACTTCAACTTCTGGTAGTAATATAAATGACTTTATACATATTTCTGAAACATCACCTGATAATAATATAGATTATCAACAATTACAGGAAGATTAAGGTATAGAAGATAATGAATTAGAAATTGAATATGAGACACCACCTACACCTAGCAGTTTTGGAGTTGGTAGCAGGAGTGGTAGTCGGGGCACTAGTAGTAGACCACATGTGGCCCCGACCACTGGTCACCGGAAAACGAGAAGTAAAGTTTGAAAATATTTTGAGGAAATAGATAACTCTAATAGAGTTAGATGCAAAATTTGCAAAGAAGATTATAAACATAAGTCTGGAGGAAATTTAGGGGGGACTGGGGCACTTAGTAGACATATGAGAATTACTCATCTTATAGAATGGGGCTCTAATTTAGATGAAAATCAAGGAACTCTAAACCCTAATACCTGAGGACTTGTGAAATATGATAAAATGAAGGACAGTGAGGAGTTAGCAAAAAAGATTGCATTGGGTTGTTTACTTTTTTTTTCTTCATCATATTTTGTTATGTATATTCAAAGGATTTATAATCATTTATTTAAAGGTATCCCTAGAAGTTACTTGTAGATCTGATATCTTTAGGCTTCATGGACAATATAAGACATACATACGTTATTTGTTTGACCACCTTCCAAGTATAGTTTCTCTAACTTTTGATATTGGCCATGCTGTTAATGAAAATGATTATTTGACAATTACATGTCATTGGATAGGTGACATTTTGAGATGGAATTTTTTCTTTTTGTGATGGAATATAGATGATATTTTTTGTATACAAAAACAAATTATCGCTTTTAAATATGATGAAGATCGGAATCATACTGCTGTTTCGATAAGTACTACTCCCTCTGTTCCAATTTATGTGTACCTGTTTGACTGACAAGGAGTTTAAGAAAAAATGAAGACTTTTGGAATTTGTGGTCCTAAAGAAGTTAAAAAGGGGCCCAGAGTATTTCTGTGATTATAAAAGCTTCTCATTAAGGGTAGAATTGTAAGTTTACGCTAAATTATTTTCAAATTTAGAAAGGGGTCATTCTTTTTGGGACGGGCCAAAAAGGAAATAGGTTCACAAAAATTGGAACGGAGGGAGTACTATTTGCGAAGTTGTTGCATTTTACAATCTCAATAAAAAAGTATGGTGTCTGTCTTTTGATAATGCTTCTAACATTGATGTCGTTATTTCACTATTAAAACTGCATCTGCAACCACCACTTGATGATATCTTTCATGTTAGGTGTGCATGTCATGTTTATAATTTAATTATTAAAAGTGGTCTTGGTTTATTTTCGACTGAGATTACTCATGTTAGAAGAGCAGATGGTGTTATTCAAGGAAATAATAGACAATCTAGAATTAGGGAATTTAAGGCTAAGTGTACCGAACATAACCTTAACCCCAGATTCATGCCAGATGAAATTGTCACTAGGTGAAGCGCTTTTCGCCTTTGATAACACTGCAAGCTCTGTATCCACGTCTAAAACACTGCTAATGCTCCCAGGCACGCTTCCCGAGGCGTCTCTCTCCTTCCCCTAGGAGGGAGATTCCCCCCCCCCCCCGCCCCTCCCTTCCTNCTTTCCCACCCATTCAAACCAGCATTCCGCACCTTCATTGTGAGCATGAATATCAAAACATTTCACCCCTTTCTTCTTTCTCCGGTCACCCCAATCGGAATTCAGGCTCCTTAGCCCTCACTCATGGAACATAAGATATTTTTCAAGTCAGGGGGGAAATGTTTTGATATTCATGCTCACAATGAAGGTGCGGAATGCTGGTTTGAATGGGTGGAAAGCAGCAGGTATATTTATCGAAAGCTGATGTTAAGCAGGAAGCTATCTTTGTGGGTCTGTCATATCCTCAAAGAAGCTTCTAAGTGTAAAGGGAGGATCTTCAAGACATGGAAGAATGGGGACCACTTCACAGACATTTATGGCTCTCTTAAGCATAATAAATTTGGCAGATTTATCTGTTTAATCTCAGTTCAGGGTCATAAAAGAAGAGTTATGGTGCTACCAGAGAATGTTCCATATGAAGGGTGGGCCTTTAATGCTAGAAGTATAGAAAAATTTATTAATAGTACCTCTTTGGCCACCATGGCTCCTCTTAGGAGGAATATCCACAAATTATCTGGTGAAGAATCATACAAAGAGGCTCTGGAGAAGAGTACATGGAGAACTGATGAAGCGTGTCTTCAAACAACGTCTACATCAGATAATCTGATCAGAATATCTGGTGGCAAACCCTCGGAAGAATCTGAGCTGTTGCAAAGATGCTTGGTGGGTAGCTTTGCTGGTCAGGACGAGCCTCCGACAAGAAATGAAGTGCGTAGGTGGGCTGCCCAAACATGGAAGGCTGCTCATGGTCTCAATGTTTACGACATGAATGGAGTTCAATTCCTTTTTGAATTCCCTTCTAGGAAACTGGCGGAACATGTTTTGGTGGGGCATTGGAAGAGGCAGAACCACAAACTCAGACTGGAATGGTGGAGTCCAACGGCGGGGTGCTTCTCAACGACCAAAAAATTTGATTGGACTTGGATTAGAGTGTTGGGCCTTCCCCTACAACTCTGGAACAAGAAGGTGATGAAAATAATCGGTGACAAATGCGGCGGATGGTTGGAAACTGAAGAGGAGACTGAACTCAGAAATCATTTGAGATGGGGTAGGTTAAAAGTGAAAGGACCACCAGAATTAATCCCTCCTAGGGTTGAGATTGAACATGAAGGTTTGACTTCACAATCCCGGTCTGGAGCGAAACCCCGGTGTTTTTCCGGCGATCGGAGGAAGTGGTCAGTAGGTATGGGGTAGGGGTGATTAGTAGGGTAGAGGAAAAGGTCTATGATGGGACAGAATCTGGTAGGGGAGCAGTCGAGGTCGATTCGTCTCTTAACCCAGCGGTTAATAGGGGTAGGGTTTCTTTAGGGAAATTTAATGGAGATAACGGTGCTTTCAAAGATATTGGGCCGGGATGGGTTGAAGGTGAAGTTAAGGGGCTCAGTCAATTGGAGGATATTGGGCCTGTTTCTGTGAGAAGCCCCGATGAAGCTAGTTTTAATAGAGGGGAGGTGAGTCACTTAAGTGACTCACGTGAAAAGCACGTGGGTTTGAAGAATGCAGCTGGGCCAATCTCTAGGCCATATGAAAACATAATCAAGGAAGCTGAAAAGGGCTTCTTTAAGCCCAATGAAAAACTCACAAAGCAAGATTCTGAAGGCTTTTTATCTAACACGGTGGGAGGTAATCTCGAAGTTTTCCTCGACCAGATTAAACAAATGGTGGCAGAATCAATTCGTGTAGAGCATCAGAGAATGGATGATCGCATATCTGCCCAAGAGGATCTTCTTCTCTCTCTCAAACAATCTTACCTTTCAGAGGGAGAAGTTCTAGAAGGGCCAGCTGGGGTAAATCAGGGGTCCCACCTCTCTCTAGTTAATTATGTCCAAGATGTTCCAGTAGAGGAAGATGCCCAGACAGTATTTGTAGACTGTCTTTCTGATAATGAAGAAGCCACTGATGAACAAGACATGCAAATAGTTCAGCACCATCAGATTGATACTGCTGAGCCAATTGAGGAGCATCCTCAAAACTGTGACCTAGATGTTCCTGCATGGATTAAAAGAAACATTGGGAAGATGAGCAAAACATATGGGGTGAGCTTTGAAGGGTGCGAATGGGAAGTTATGGCTTTGTTTTTTAAGATAGACAGTCGGAAAAAGGAGTTGAAGGCAGCGATGCGCTCAAAGAACAAGAGCACAGGGGCTTCATCAAAATTAAAAGGAGTGTATGAAACAAAAAACTTGAAAGTTGGAGTGAAATACAAAGACGGAATTCCAAGGAACAGAGGGAGGCAACTACTTATCAAAAGCTAATGAAGATACACCTAATTTCCTGGAATGTTAGGGGTTTTAATTGGGGGGGGGGGGGGGGGAGAAGAGGAAGTTGATAAAATCAGCTTTCAAAGAGTGGAGGGCAAATATTTACTGTTTACAAGAAACGAAGGTAGAGGGGGATTGTGATAGTATTGCAAAACAACTGGGTAGCAGTAGGTGGATTGAGCACATAAAACTGGAAGCTGAGGGTACAAGGGGGGGCATCCTAATTATGTGGGATAAGAGAGAATGGAAGGGGGAGTTAGTTGAAAAGGGTAGATACTCTATCACTTGTAACTTTAGCTCTGTGATAGACAATTTCCTTTGGGCTTTGACGGGGGTGTATGCTCCATGCAAGAGAGTGGAAAGAACCGAACTTTGGCTAGAGTTGGGTGCGATGAAAGGGTTATGTAATAGAAACTGGGTGGTATGTGGCGACTTCAACACCACCAGATTTGCTGACGAAAGAAAAAACAGGTCCTCATACAGTAGAGCAATGGCAGAATTCTCAGAAACTGTGGAAGAGCTGGAATTGATTGATCCTCCTCTGCTGGGGGGCCAATTCACCTGGAGCCAAGGTGACAACTCTGAGTATGCTTCTAGAATAGACAGGTTCCTCTTATCTATGGAGTGGGATGATGAATTCAGTTTTATCAGACAAAGTCTCCTTCCAAAAGTTGTCTCTGATCACTCTCCAATCTCTTTGAAATGCGGGGATTGGGAATTCAACAAATCCTATTTTAAATTTGAAAACTGGTGGTTAGATGTCCCAGAGTTTCCTGCTAAAGTACAGACTTGGTGGAATTCTTTCGAGATTGTTGGTAGGCCTGATTTTGTGTTAGCCTCCAAGCTAAAGCTTCTCAAATCTAAGTTGAAAGAGTGGCATAAGGAGGAGTATGGTAGTCTAGAGGCAAGGAAGAAGACAGTCCTCATTAGCATCTCAAACTTTGATCAGATTCAAGAAAGTAGAAGACTCTCTGAAGGAGAGTTATTGGAAAAGGCTGGCCTCATGTTAGAGATTCAGGAGTTAGCCAAGCGTGAAGAGATTGCATGGAGACAAAGGTCCAGAACCTTATGGCTGAAACAAGGGGACAAGAATACAAAGTTCTTCCACAAAATGGCGAATGCACATAGGAGATACAATCACATTGATAAGTTGGAGGTACAGGGGCAGACTTCCACAAACTCGGAAGAGATCAGGAAAGAAATCATTGATTTTTACCAGAAGCTGTACGCGGAACCTGAAACATGGCGACCAAATTTCAATCTGGTTAGGGGGAATTTTTTATCAGAGGAGGAGAGCACTCGGTTACAAAGAGAGTTTGAAGAGCAGGAAGTGGTGGAATGCCTTAAGTCCTGTTCGTCAGACAAAGCACCAGGACCCGATGGCTTCACCATGGGTTTTTTCAGAAATGCTGGCCAACAGTCAAGGAAGATGTCATGTCAACTCTGAAGAATTTTCATTCTAATGAACACTTCGAGAAGAGTTTTAATGCATCTTTCGTGGCTCTCATTCCAAAAAAGAATGAAGCAAGAGAGCTTAAAGATTTCAGGCCAATTAGTCTGATTGGAAGCGTTTACAAAATTATAGCCAAAGTGCTAACCGAGAGGTTAAAGTTTGTCATCAACAAACTCATTGGTGGTCATCAAATGGCATTCATAAAAGGCAGACAAATCATGGATGCCTCACTGATAGCAAATGAGGTGGTCGATTCTAGGCTCAAAAGCAAAGTGTCAGGTGTCCTTTGCAAGCTGGATATAGAGAAGGCATATGATCATGTCAACTGGAATTTCCTTCTAAGACTAATGGCTGATATGGGTTTTGGATCTAAATGGGTTAACTGAATCCGTTTCTGTCTTACCACTGTTAAGTTCTCTATCCTGATAAATGGCTCACCCCAAGGCTTTTTCTCTTCACAAAGGGTGCTTAGGCAAGGGGACCCTTTATCTCCTTTTTTTGTTCCTGATGGCAATGGAGGGGCTGAACCAGATGTTAAACACTGCAAAGGCAAATGGCTGGATTAAGGGTTTCAAGGTTTCTAACAGACGGAATAGCAGCCTAGAGATCTCTCATCTTCTATATGCAGATGACTCTATCATCTTCATGGGAACTCATCCAGAAGAGATGCTGCACCTCAGACTAATTCTAACAACCTTCGAAGCCGTGGCAGGTTTGCATGTGAACTTTTAGGTTAATGAAGTCCCAAACATTCAGGACCTGGCAAATGTCCTGGAATGTGGACTAGAAAACCTCCCTACCAAATATCTAGGCCTCCCTTTGGGCTACAAAAACAAGTCGCAAGATATATGGCAAGGGGTGATTGAAAGGAGTGAAAAAAGATTGTCAAGATGGAAGAGTCAATATCTGTCACTCGGAGGCAGAGTGACTCTGGTAAATAGTGTCTTAGATGCATTGCCTTCCTATGTGACGTCCTTATTCCCAATTCCTACTAAGGTGAGGAAAAAGATTGACTCCCTTAGAAGGAATTTCATTTGGCAAGGTAACAGTGAGAAAAGGACTATTCACTTAGTCAATTGGGATACTCTTTTGTGCTCGAGGCAAGTAGGGGGCCTAGGTGTCAGAAATCTAAAGGCTCAGAATAATAGTCTACTGGCAAAATGGTTATGGAGGTATAACTTGGAGGAAACAGCTTTATGGAGAAGGGTAATTCAAGAGAAGTATGGCTGGGGAGGACATTGATGCACCAAACCAGTGGCATCCTCTCATGGAGTGGGGGTCTGGAAAACAGTCAGGGGGCAATNAACACTCTAGTATCAAGGTTGGAAATGGAAGAAGAGTACTCTTCTGGTGTGACAAATGGTTTGGGCATACACCTATAAAAGACCAATTTCCAGAATTGTATAACATTGCCGCGAATCAAAGAATTTCAGTAGCAGAAGCAAAATCCACACATGGGTGGAATATTGTTTTCAGAAGGAACTTAAATGACTGGGAGTTGCAAAGTGTGGTAGATTTCTGGGAGACCTTAGAAGCTTTCCAAGGTCTCACAGAAGAGGAAGATGCTTTAATCGTGGAGGGTCACAAATCAGGTTCTTTTTCAGTGAAATCTGCTTATCATTTCATTAACAATACTCCTAATCCTGCACAAGGTTGGCCATGGAAACAAATTTGGAGGGTCGGGGTGCCTACAAAAGTTCAATGCTTCACATGGTTAGTAGCGAGGGAAGCTGTCCTAACTCAGGATAACCTCCTTAGGAGAGGAATCCAGCTACAAGCTAGATGCAGTTTTTATGGCAAAGATGGGGAATCAGTTTCCCACCTCTTTATTCACTGCCCGGTCACTACCCAACTGTGGCACTTCTATCTTAATTTGGCTGGTATATCTTGGTCAATGCCCGTAAACACTGCAGCTCTTCTCAGTAGCTGGAACAATGGCTACTATGGAGGGGCAAATATTAAACAGAAGAAATGGTGGAAAATTGTTCCTGCTTGTATCTGGTGGACCATCTGGAAAGAAAGAAATGCCAGAATTTTTGAAGATAGACCTAGCTCTTACCAGAAAATTAAGCTTAATTGTTTTTGTTATTCCATTTTTGGTGTAAAGAGAGTTATAGGGAGGATGTACACTCTTTATTAGACTTGCTAGAAGAAATGTAATCGAATAGAATAGGCTTTGGTACTCTCTCTGACCCTTTGAGGGTCTGATTGTGTCCTTCACAATCTCTTGTAAATCTTTTACACATTTATATAATTGTTACCATTCTCAAAAAAAAAAGATTTCAAGTGTAAGCATTGGATATCATTCTTGGCACTGGAGGAATATTCATGCAAAAATTATTTCGACATTTTTAAACCTTGATAAACTTAAAAATACATGCTTGAATATGTTTCCTATCTAATTCCTTCACCCATCCCCACATTCTAAAAGGGGAAAGCAACAAAAATTGGAAGACACGAGAATAGAGAAGGCAAAAAGAAACGGAGCAAAGAATCTATACTTTGAAAAAGAGTTGTCTGCAATTCAATGAGAAAAGCCTAAAATTTATACTACCTTCTATAAACATCCAGCAATTATCATCATAGTTAAGTACATGAAAACATACACTGGCAGTCTATACATGTTCATTACCTTCATCATCACTGTCATCGAGATCATCCCCCATTGCATCATCTCCCAGTCCCATGCCACCCATGTCCCCGAATTTCTACAAATTATCAAAGGGGAATAATTCTCAGAAGAAATAACAAATTAAATGCACAACGCAGCTTATAACCCAGCAGGTACTTACCGAGAAATCCATCGAATTCATGTCGAAATCACCAGGAGGAGCTTAAAAATATGAGGCAACAACAAAGTTAGATATCTGCTTCAGTGTATGTTGCTCAGACTCTTCAATAATGTTGCCCGTGCGTGTCTTATCCTCCAAAAATAGCGCAAATTTGGAGGACCCGACATGGGCGGCGGCATTTTTGGAGAGTTCGAGCAACATAAATAAATATGGTTGAGGAGAGATTTAGAAAAAACATGAGATAAGTTGGTACCAGTGTCATTGTCATCATCTTCGTCCACCCACTTATCCCAATCCACTTTCACATAATGCGGTGCTTTCTCATCTCCACGCAACAATTTATTCCACCATTTCTTCTCTGATTTTTCCAAAATGCAGAAGATATTTCTCACGCCAATATTTATTTTGCTCTCCTTCAATATAAAATTACAAATTACAGAGCAATGCTAAATAATACGGGAGAATAGCATAGCAATTATACTAAGAAAACGCGCAAAACTAGCAAGTAAATCCTCCCACTTCCTACATGTTACTCTCTTGATCACAGCTAAATTGTCGAAACTGTTGTTTTAGTTGGTTTTATTGTTTCTTTTCATTCGACTTCTATGAGTATAAATCAAATATCACTTTCCATGAGTTATCCTTTTAATCCAACTTCACCATCAAGATTACTCGAGAAAGTGCCTTATTGAAAAAAGAAACAATTTTTCTTGAGAGTACGAGGACACTCAGTCCTTTGATCAATAAAGAGGGACATCAGGAAAACTTTACAGGCAACATGTCTCCCAAATAAATCAGTCCATAAAATTGTTTTGACAAAGGAGCTGTTCAAACAGGCAAGAAGTAAAGGTTGCTCTTTGGTAAGAGAGCTCAACCAAGACGTTAGGACTCAAGTCACGCCAAGGGAGCTAAGTGGAAATGGGCTACTGTTGACCCCTGGGGTGAGGAAATTCAGGGGGTAGGATTCACCATATTAAAAAAAGGCACTCAATCCAGCTTTGACTATCTACAAATTACAGAACTCAAACCACGCAAATACACTTCTCTTTTTACCTCTGTTATATTGATGTGTAGGCAGGCACAGGTTTCAAGATATTTTGGATATGCGGAATACCTTTTTAACATTGCAACTAATGATCATATTTTTTAAACTCACTTTATCTCAGATTTCAATCTACCAATCTCTTTAACCAAGAAAATAATAACAGAATGAACATCATTATGCAGTTCAGCTTATAAAGCCTCCAGACTAACTTTGATTTGCTTAATAAGTAAGCTATTAACTCATTAGCCGTTGAAATTTCTTCTGCTTCTTTGAGCTAATTTTTGCAGTTAATACTTACTTCGTCTATCCATTTTGGTACTTTCATTGGTTGAGCACTGAAGAATGGGTGACACACAAGAAAGCCCAATTCCCACTATCTAATAGATTAGATGCAACTACGGAACTAATGGAACCTAAGCTATAAATCCTCTTTGTTGGAAATTTAGGTTCAAGAAGAAACTAATCTACACCAGTTTCACTAGATAAACTCACACTAAACATGATTTGCTACATTTCTGTCATAAAATTATCTAAACATGCCTCATTTCACAAAAAAAAAAAATCATGCATAAGAAAGGTGTCCGTAAAATTCAAACCACAGTAATATATAATATCCAGCAGCCATATCGAAAAAAAATCTCTTACCTCAACGTTAACTTTATCAAAAAGCTCAAGTTTCAACTCGTATGCATGGCTTTCCGGCCCAGCTGTAGCAGAGAAGGTAAAAATTCCTTCAGGGTCCAGATTTACCTTTGGACTTTTAGCATCAGGTAATTGCACAGTGAGATACACCACATCTGGTCTCTGGGCCCACTTCACTTGTGGATGGCGGCTATGAATTCATAAAGAAGAAGGGAAAAGAAGAAGCAATTTTTAGCCAATAGCTCATCCCAGAAGTGAAAAAAAATGTTAAACAAAAATGTCTGCTGTGTCAATGAATGTCCCTTCCAAGAGGTAGTGTTTAGATGCACTCAACAAGCCTATTGAGTGAACAATGATATAAATGAGCAGATACAAAAATGCAAAGGCATTTGTGCACATTATACAATTAACAAAATATTTCCTAACGAACAGAGGTTACAAGGAAAATAAAGATACAGAAAAGTGGCATCACCGAAGTCATGCGAGTATTACTACGAGGGAACCCTTATGGGATTTTTGCATTCGTCAAAGGGATTTTATGATTCTTTATATTGAGGAGATAGAAAACATAGTTATACTTCCAGAGCAGTTTAAAATTCACTCTAACAGGTCAATTCCCTGCCAACTTCAATGTACATCTTCGGAAGTTACATGGAAAGAGAAACCTGACCCAAGTGCCTTGAGTTATGTTACCCTGAATTACCTGCTAAACAAGAACCGATCACTAAAACCACATAAAAGCATCTCTACTAAAAAAATCAGAGGTAGCTGATTAGACTAGTCCCTCTGTGTATGATCACACCTTGCTGGAAGTAAGAATAGAGAATCTTCATTCAGCTAGGGCAGGAGTGCTAGAATACACCAGCCTCATTAGTGCTACTCCCTCCGTCAAAATTTATGTAGCGGTGTTTGACCGGGCATGGAGTTTAAGAAAGAAAGAAAGAGTTTTGATACTTTTAGTTTAACACAAGCCATAAACATTTGTGTGGCAAATCATCTCATTAAGGGTAAAATGAGAAGTTTAAAGTTAATTTATTTCTAAATAAGAAAGTATAACATTCTCTTTGGGACAGACTAAAAAGGAAAATATGACACATAAATTGAGACAGAAGGAGTAATAGTTAATGACTTGCAAAAACAGCAACTGCCAATAGAGGTAAATCCAGAACTCTAAGTTCAGTGGGTGCAGAATACTGGTGCGCACACTATTAATTATAAGCATGCAGATATGCATCTAGTGTCCAAGTACTAGCAGCAAATAAAGCCAAGGTGATTTCTTCCTATCTTCCTAAGCATTGGTTCACTAATGAGAACCGTGAGGCTAAAATATGACTTTCTGTTACTCACTACAGTGGGTTTTGATATAATTTTAGGATAATTGATTACAATTTTATTAATTATATGATCTACCGATATGGGGGTTCATTTTGTGTTGTGAAATTGTTTAATGGAAGCCATTAGAAGAATGAACAGAAACGGAAAGATTGCGATTGGCACAATGTGCATATTACTTGTGATTCGGAGCTAAGGACGGGATCCTCGCATTTTAATATGATTTGATATGTTTAAACCGTGCTACGAGCCACGAAAACTTACCAAACACATGCACTAGTGAGATGATGTGGCCATGTGGGTAATCCACTAAAATAGGCGAGACGCACAAATTGATGCACACACAAAAATTATTCTATATATTTAGTTTAAGCCAAGGTCGGCGGGTGCTTTTTTGCCCCTGACTACCAAAGACACTCTATTTCATTCATTTCGTCCTGCTTCTCTTAGGGAAGGGGGTGGTCAGAGGAATAGCTCATAGACAAGCACATGATTAAGTACAAATGGGATGATAAATTAGCAAACTTTCACATCTGCAGTCAAAACTCCTCTTAAGCAAAGACAACAAAAGTTAGGTTATTTCTTTCTAACAAATCCTCAGTAAGCAAAATTATCTGTAATCGAAGATTTAAATTTGAAAGGTTCAGCATTTAGGTTTTTATTACTAAACCCATTACACTTTTAAAACTATGGGCTTTGTAATGTCTTTTGAAAATTTTAGTGATTTTTCATGTATAAACTCATACTCCGCGTAGAAAATGCTTAGTTTGGTTGAACCTATTAATACATGCTTCATCAACCACTTGTTACCCGATATTGGTACTAGTGGGAGAATGCAAGTATCCATTAGAATAGTCAAGGCACGCACAAACTAACCCGGACACCAACGTGTTATCATACACAAGCATATACACACACAACAACAACAACAACAGCAACCCAGTGTAATCTCACAGGTGGGGTCTGGGTAGGGTAGTGTGTTTGCAGACATTACCTCTACCTTGTGAAGGTAGAAAATTATGCAACTGTATATTCGACCTTATACACAAACATACACACAAAATTATTCAGCTGCATATATTGTTTAAGCCAAGGTCAACCGGTGCATTTCCGCCCCTACTACCAAAAGCACGCCTTAACTTCACTCATCTCTTCTAGCTTCTCTTGGGAGAAGGCGATCAGAGGAACAACAACAATAACCATAATTACGCCTCAGTACCAAATAAGTTAGGGTTGACTATATGAATCCTCATTGATCATTTTCTCAAGCCAATATAAAGGAACAACTTATACTACAAGCAAAATGTTAAGAGTACAAACGGGACCGTAAATAATGAAATGTTCACATATGTGGTCAAAATTCCATATTTTTGTAACGGTACAAGTAACTCTGCCGGCCATAGGCTAAAGCAAATGAGGAGAAACAGTCAAAACACCTATTTTTTGTTATAACAATACAAGATAACTCTACGGACCAAGCCCTAGGCAAACAAGACGGAACTGCCCAAGCTCTTATTTTTTATTTTTTTGGTTATGACGGTACAAGGCAACTCTAGTGACCCAAGGCTTAAGCAGGTGGAAATAAACCGTCCAAACTCCTCTCTCTTTTTTGTTATAACAAAACAAGGTAACCCCAAGTTCAGAAGGAGGCAGCAGTCTAGTGAATCAGAAATATACAAGATGGAGAAGTATTTTGGAACGTCAGACATAGGAGAAAGTTAGATTGAGAAGTGGCAGAATTCCAAAGTCTGATGGAATTACTTCATAAACACATTACACCACAGGATACTCATGATGTGTGGAGATGGAGATGGAAAATAATGGCGTGTTCTCTGTTAAGTTCTATTATTGAAAGCTTTTGATGAGGGAGGAGGTTACTTCACGCATAGTTTGGTGTTGATCCCGAAGACTCCGAGAAAGGTATGTTTTTTCGCTTGGTTAGTAGCAAAACGTGCAATTTTGACGACCGAAAATCGGAGGAAGAGGAAGATTACCTATGTCAGTTGGTGTTTTATATGAAAAGAGCTTGGGGGAAGATATTTATCACCTGCTCATTCACTGGCCGGTAGCATTGAGGTTATGGTGGGAAATACTTAATTAGTTCGGTACATGTTGGGTGATGCCAGGCACGGTGAAAGAGGTGTTGTTCAGTTGAAATTATGGGACAAGAAGGAGACACAAGGCGTGGAAGCTTGCACCGCTAGCTCTTTTGTGGACCGTAAGGAGGGAAAGAAACAGGATGGTGTAGAGATGACTTTTGTTAAGTTGAGAAGTAGTCTTTTATCTCTTATCTCCGATCATGCATTTTCGATTCCCGCTATTTGCCGAATGTAGCACGTTTAGTTTGTAAAAAGAAGTTCCTCAACAATAGGACAAAGCTATACGATAAGCATTTGTTTTATGTTCATCTTTGGAAACATTTTAGTTGAGTGGCTGCCATTAATTTTCTACTGTTCCCACCATTCTCCTTATCTCGAACCTATCGCTCTTCAAGCCCTTGTTAGTTGATTATTAGGGTTATAACTTAATTAGAATTCACATTATAAGGAGATTTTAGCCACCATGCTATATTGTTATTACTGAAAGGTTTGTTATAAGCAATTAATCAAGCGAAAAAAAGGAGAAGAAGAATGATCACACAAATAAAAATAAAAAAGATTTGGTTAGGTTGGATTTGCTGTATGTCTCATCGCCCTTTATTGAATGTACTGACACCTTATCTTGGATGAATAGACGACTCCGTGTCGTTCGTAGAAAATCATCTTTTTTGTAGGTTTTTTACTGTTTGGTATACCTCTATACAGGCAATGATTTTGTGCCCATACATTAATATAATTTATTACTTTATCCCCAAAAAAATAGAAGGTAAACCCAATTGGCCAGGGCTAGGGCTTAAGTAGATGGGAATAAACCATTCAAACCCCTATGTTTTATTTGTTATACCAATACAAAGTAACTCTACTGACTAAGACTCCTAGCTTATTTGGCCAAGCTTTACCAGGGCCAAAAGTGTTTTTTTCTCCAAAAAAGTAGTACTTGTTTTTCTTAACTTGAGGTGTTTGGCCAAGCTTTTTAGGCAGAGAAAAACTGTTTCTGGCAGAAGCAGAAGCAACTTTTGAGAAGCAGAATAAAGTAGCTTCTCCCCAGAAGCATAAGTAATTCTGAATTTTCTTCCTACCATTGTATATACCAAAATAACCTTACTTAGTTTACACTATTAAGTAATATATAATGACTTTCGAGGTGAACTTTCATATTTGTTGAATGATTTTTTGATATATTTAAATCATCTTGAAAGAATAAAGTACTTTCAAATTTTATCTTTATAACAACAACAACATACTCAGTATAATCCCACTGGTGGGATCTGGGAAGGGTAGTGAGTACGCAAACCTTACCCCTACCTGAAGAGGTAGAGAGGCTGTTTCCGAAAGACCCTCGGCTCAAGAAAAGGTGGAAAAGAAGAATAGGGGAGAAGAATAGGAGGAAAGAGGGGGGACGGAGAGAAAGGCGATAAGTATTGAGGAGAAAAACTAGCATCAAATAGTAACCATCAGAGATCAACGATAACCAGTAAAAGGGAAGAAAAAGTAACATCAAACAGTAGCAATCAGAGAGCAACAATCTCAGTAGCAATATACAAAAACAAAGGACATGGTTGCAAAATACCAGATACAATAACAAACTAGACGGAAGTAACTTACAACCCACAGCAAGAATATTACTAGTACTACTGGTGAACCTATGAAAAACTCGCAACTACCTGTCAACCCACCACCTTAATCCTCGACCTCCATACCTTCCTATCGCTAGTCATGTCCTCGGTTAGGTGAAGCACCGACAAGTCCTGCCTAATCACCTCTCCCCAATACTTCTTAGGCCTACCCCTGCCCTTCCTCAAGCCCGCCATGGTCAACCTCTCACACCTCCTGACCGGGGCATATATATCTCTCCTCTTCACATGCCCAAACCACCGCAGCCTCAATTCCCGTAACTTGGATTCCACAGATGTCACTCCCACCTTGTCCCTGATAACTTCATTCCTGATCTTGTCTTTCCTGGTATGACCACACATCCATCTCAACATCCTCATTTCTGCTACGCTCATCTTCTGGACATGGGGCTTCTTGACGGGCCAATACTCAGCTCCATATAGCATAGCTGGTCTAACCACCACCCTGTAGAACTTGCCCTTAAGTCTAGGCGGTACATTCTTATCACATAAAACCCCTGAAGCTAGCCTCCATCTCATCCAACCCGCTCCAATCCGGTGAGTAACATCCTCGTCAGTTTCCCCGTTGCCTTGGATTATAGACCCAAGATACTTGAAACTATCTCTTGTGGGAATGACTTGAGTATCAATCTTTACTTCTACTTCTTCATGCCTCTCCTCACTGAACTTGCACTCCAAGTATTCAATTTTCGACCTACTCAACTTGAAACCTTTGGATTCCAGCGTCTGTCTCCAAACTTCCAACCTAGCGTTAACACCTCCTCGCGTCTCGTCAATCAATACTATGTCATCAGCAAATAGCATGCACCATAGCACCCTCCCTTGTATGTGACGAGTCAGGACATCCAACGCTAGGGCAAACAAAAACGGGCTAAGGGTTGATCCCTAATGTAACCCCATCTCCACTGGGAAATGTTCCGAGTCACCTCCCGCAGTCCTCACCCGAGTCTTAGCGCCTTCGTACATGTCCTTAATCACCCTAATATACGCTACGGGGACTCCACTAACCTCCAAACACCTCCATAGCACCTCCCTCGGGACTTTGTCATAAGCCTTCTCAAGGTCAATGAACACCATGTGCAAGTCCTTTTTCCTCTCCCTATATTGCTCCACCAATCGTCTCACCAGGTGAATGGCTTCTGTGGTTGACCGTCCCAGCATAAACCCGAACTGGTTCTCAAATAAAAAGCTTAATTTTGCACTTCATACTAAATATTGGTAAGCATTTATCTAATTATATAATATTAACTATTAAGTAAATCTCTTTATGTCCTTAATCATAATTTGATACTTGAAAATACTTTTTGAAAAGCTTGGCCAAACACAAATTATTGCTCAAAAGTGCTTTTCAAATTGACTAGCCAAACACAAACCGTTTTTCTCCAAAAGTACTTTTTTTTGAAAAGACCTTTTGGAAAAAACACTTCTCTAAGCTAACTTTTTCCGCTTGGCCAAACAAGATATAAGGCAGATGGAAATAAATTTGCCAAACTCCTAATTTAATTTTTTATTATGAACGGACAATGCAACTCTACTGACCAAGACTTATGCATAAAGCATATGTCAAAAAACAGTCCAAACTCCTAATATTTCATCTGTAACAGATCATTTTTGAGTATTATTCAAAATAAAAATTTACAGTGAAACAAAATTCTCATCAAGAAACAAAAACACCTAAATGGATAAACACATTAATAAATTAACAACCAGACCTCCGAAGAATATATCAATCAACTACAACTTAAATCTCAAACTAGTTAGAATCAACCATATGAAACTCTAGCCCCGACATCAACGTTATTGAAAAGGAAAAAATACGAACACTCTGTATTAAATCAAATACGCATTTTGAAATCGAATAATAAAATGCAGTAAAGTATGTATTACCTCATCGTTGTAGTTTAAGCGCTGAAGAAGGAGAAGTGAAAAACCTAGAAAGGCAGAAACTGTAGAGGCACAGCTGCTAGTAATACACTAGTAATTTGCAAAAGTGATGAGAACCTACCAACTGTACCAAAGTCTTCTAGATTTTTCTTAAACCTCTGAGGTTTTGCTTGCGTGTGAGACTCGAATAACTGTATGATGGGCTTCGAGGTTCGGCCCAGTAGTCTTTAGGCCCTTAGCAGACTGATGGATCAGTTTTCGTCAAAATAGCACCGTCTATCCAGTTTTTGGACTGGTAATTGAAAAATAGTCACTATTTTGCTGCAACACAGAAAGTTTCAGCATAATATACTGGAGATTTAGATTGAAGGACATGTGTATGAACTTCCAGCATATTATGTTGGAACTCCAGCACACAGAAAGTTCCAGCATAATATACTGGAGATTGGAGCACCTCTGTATGAACTTCCAGCATATTATGATGTACCAGTATATTATGTTGGAAGTCCAGTATATTATACTAGAAGCCCAATATATTACATTGGAACTCCATTATATTATGCTAGAATATTTTTCGAATTTTGAATATTATTTTCGCTCAAATTTATCTTTACATGAAAAGTGGCTAAATTTCGATTACTTTTGAAACTTATCAATTAACACTTGTAAATCGGGCTATTTTTAAATTTCACCCAACTGATGGATCAGTTTTCGCCAAAATAGCACAGGCTAGCCAGTTTTCGGACTGGTAACTGAAAAATAGTCATTATTTTGTTGCAACACGAAAAATTCCAGCATAATATACTGGAGATCGGAGGACCTGTGTATGAACTTTTAGCATATTATGTTGGAACTACAACACAAGGAAAGTTTCGGCATAATATACTGGAGATTGAGATTGAAGGACATGTGTATGAACTTCCAGCATATTATGTTGGAACTCCAGCACACAGTAAAGTTCCAGCATAATATACTGGAGATTGGAGCACATGTATATGAACTTCCAGCATATTATGATGTACCAGTATATTATGCTGGAAGTCCAGTATATTATACTAGAAGCCCAGTATATTACATTGGAACTCCATTATATTATGCTAGAATATTTTTCGAATTTTGAATATTATTTTCGCTCAGATTTATCTTTACATGAAAAGTGGCTAAATTTCGATTACTTTTGAAACTTTTCAATTATTACTTGTAAATCTGGCTATTTTTAAATTTCACCCAACTGGTGGATCAGTTTTCGCCAAAATAGCACAGGCTAGCCAGTTTTCGAACTGGTAACTGAACAATAGCCATTATTCTGTTGCAACACGGAAAATTCCAGCATAATATTCTGGAGATCGGAGGACCTGTGTATGAGCTTTTAGCATATTATGTTGGAACTACAGCACACGGAAAGTTCCAGCATAATATACTGGAGATTGGAGCACCTATGTATGAACTTCCAGCATATTATGCTGGACCGGTATATTACACTGGAAGTCCAGTATATTATACTGGAATATTTTCGTGATTTTGAACAGTATTTTCCTTCAGATTTATCTTTACATGAAAGTGGCTAAATTTCGATTACATTTAAAACTATGGCTATTTTTTAATAATCACTTATAAATCTGGCTATTTTTGAATTTCTCCATGGTGTTAATGGTATAAATGACGTCAGGTAGCCACTTTAAGCACCTCGATTTAAAATATATCCAATCCCTAAAAATTATTTAAACTTCGCCAATTTTGACATACTTCAGATCATTGATGCTGTTGTTTTTCCTCCTTCTTCGGGTCTTCGATTTAAACCTCAAACCATCAGATCTGAATTTAAGCTCTGCCACAGTCAGAGGTGGAGTAACCATTTGAAGTTTATGGGTTCTAAATTCTAGTCCGTTTAAGTTAATGGTTCTAAATTAATGAATTATACATATTCAATATATTTTTACGATAAATATAAAATTTAAATTAAAGCTATTGGGTCAGACCGAACCTGTAGCATGTGTTCTAGCTCTTCCCCCGGCCAAAGCTTACTCTTGTACTGATTAGAATTATGCTTACTTAAGACCGTACGTCTTCTTGATTTTGAGACGGCTAAAGTTTAAAAACTTTGTAAAAAAATTGACTATTCTTTAAATAGGGGTCTTAAAACGGCTAGTAGTGCACTTTTCCCATGTTCAATGTGCCAATTAAGTTAATGTGTCTCATAATTTTAGGAGTCATTTGGTTCGTCGCATACGAAAAAGGATATGGTTATAAATTTTTGTAGGATATAAATTTCTTAAAATTGTGTAATTCTTAATTTACTACCCCACAACATTGTCCATGACTATTTGTGCAAAGATCCCTTTTGTTATACGTTCCATTATTTGGCACTTAGTAATACGTGCCAAGTAGTAATTTTTAATTTACTACTCCACAATATTATCCATGCCTATTTGTGTAAAGATCCTTTTGTTATACGTTCCACTATTTGGCACTTTGTTTTTTTATAAACATGGACACGTTTTCATGAATTTTTATATATGTAACAAAGGCGTTTTAACATAGGATTTAACTTATATACTCTTGTGCTTTTTTATCAATTAAACATATTACTTATGTTTTTTATTTTTTAGATTATTAAATATATTTATTACAGACAGTTACATATTACAATAGTGTAATAAAACTATATGCTGAATTTATGATTTCGCAATGAAGGGATTTTTACACAAATTGCAGGTCAGATTTACTGTGTAATTTTCCTAGCCTATATATATATATATATATATATATATATATATATATATATATATATATTATAAACATTGGATTGGACATATATTATATATCGGTCGGTTATTTTTAATTAAAATGGTTGGGTGGTCAGCTATTTAAAGTACGTCATGGAGTATGTAGGTTGCTGATATGTGAAAATAGCACGGCCTAGCCAGTTTTTGGACTGGTAATTAAAAAGCGTTTGCAAAGTTATTGAAAAATAGCCACTATTTTGTTGCAACACGAAAAGTTCCAGCATAATATACTTGAGAATGGAGCACTTGTGTATTAACTTCCAGCATATTATGCTGCAACTCCAATATATTATGTTGGAAGTCCAGTATATTATGCTAGAAGTCCAGTATATTATGTTGAAAGTTCACGTGTAAAAGTTCGAACTCCAGTATATTATGCTGGAATAGTTTCCGGATTTTGAACAGTGTTTTCGTTCAAATTTATTTTTACATAAAAAGTAGCTAAATTTTAATTTGAAACTGTGGCTATTTTATAATTACCACTTATAAATCTGATATTTTTGAATTTCGCGATCAAAGTGACAGTACTTTCTGTCCTTTTCTGGTATCTTATTCCAGCGAATTCTATTCTCTGTAATCTTTATAACTATCAAAGTAACCAAACATTGAATTGGATTCTATTACGATAAGAATAAAACATGACCACCAACCTTTATTTCGCCCATGTTTGGTCATATATTTTTCCAAATTTAATTTGAAATTTATTTTCAAATTTCATATTTGGCCATAAATTTGACCCACATTTTGGCCAAAACTCAAATCACATATTTGAAATCTCACCAAATTTTTAAAACTTGGGAATTATATACATGTTTTCCCAAAATAAAGTTGAAAAATATGTTTTGAAATCGTATGTCCAAACACATTTTCATCTTCAAACCAAACTTCACCCAAATCAGATTTTTCAAAATAATTTTGGGATCTATGGCCAAACGCTAGCTTCATGTTCAAATAGCCTTGTGCTTTACCTATTCATTAAGTATCTTTGAGTTTATTCAAAAGGGAAGAAAAGAGTTTTTTTTTTTTAAATTTACAGATTTTTTTTTTTAGTTTATTGAATTCAAGAATGACAACAACAGAGGAGAAATCAGTGATGGTTGTGGGAATAGAAGACAATCAACACAGTTTTTATGCATTGGAATGGATTTTGGATCATTTTTTTGGAACTTCACCTTCTCTTTTCAAACTTGTCATTGTTCATGCCAAGCCTTCTCCTGCTTCTGTAATTGGCCTCACTGGTCTAGGTATGTATCGTTATATTTTTACCGTTATATTTTATATGATAATGTTTGACTAGATACAAAATTTGAAAAAGAAAGAGCGATCCTCGACACACGTATCAAAAGTATTCTTAGAACTCGTGTTATACGAGTACGTTGTTAAGAGCGAAGTTAAATATTTTAATTGAAGAGATTTTAGGCGATGTAAAACGATGTCATATTTTTTCAGTGTCATGTAAAATGAAATAAATTGAGGATTTTTTTAATATATGATGAAGTTTGAGTGGATCATTTTAGGCATTAATTTGACTGCTTAATTTTGTGGTTGAATCATAACTAATTAAATAAATGTATGTTCTCTCTAACAATTTAACCTTTAAAATGTTAGTTTTTATGAAAAGTTTCACATGTTTGATCCATTGGCCCACGCTTGAGGGACATGTTGAGACATATTCAGTGGCGGAGCTACATTGAACCAAGGGGTGACAAGCGACACTCCTTCCCCGAAAAATTATACTGTATTGCTAGATAAATTGACATCCCTTCGTCGAAAAATTATACTATATTGCTAGATAAATTTTTTTATTTTATGTATATTTACTATACGTTAATTCTCCTTGATTTTTCAATGTATCTAATTATTTATATTTTGACACCCCTTGATAAAACTTCTAGCTCCGCCATTGGACATATTTGATCAAAATGTGTTTTCTCTAACAAGCTTTAGATGAGATTGTCATATAATTCAATTTTTAGTAATAATAGAAGAAAATATTATAATTATTGTTGAAAAGATAGTTGGATTTGATTAAATAAAATAATTGGTATTGAAGTTCTGAAAGTAGTGCTATAAGATAATGTTACTAGTGAAATAGTGTGAAACAGGAAAAGTTGCATAAATATTGAAAAAACTTAGAGAATATACTTATTATTTGGAGTATCTATTGGTCCGACCATATTATCAACTCGAAATCGTAAAGATTAAATTCTGAATCCGTCTATGATGATGAGTATTAACTAGAAATTGGTCGTCTCCCGATGTCTTGATTTCCTTTTTGATGAATTACAGGCAGTGTGGAAATTTTGCCATCAATAGAAACGGATTTGAAGAAGATTGCTGCAAGGGTTGTGGAGAAAGCTAAGGAGATATGTACTGCAAAATCCGTAATTGGACTCTTCCTTCCTTTTATTTAAAGAGTTTAAGTTCTATACATTGTCATTTATTCGTCGAAAAATATATTTTTACACGTCACTTATAATCCACTAATAATGGTTGTATTATTATTTTTTTGTAGGTGAATGATGTTATAGTTGATGTCGAGGAAGGTGATGCCAGGAATGTCCTATGTGAAGCTGTAGAGAAGCATCATGCCTCACTTTTAGTTGTTGGTAGTCATGGTTATGGAGTTTTAAGGAGGTAAATATTCTTCAGGATCTCTACACAAATAGCTGCTCGGATTAATTATTTACTTTTTTTTTGTTGGTATACATAAATTATATACTAATTATAGACAGTTATATTCACCGGCTATTTTCAGTATAGCAGTTGGGTGGGCAGCTATTTACGTTAATTCTTCCTATTTTCTTTTCTCTAATAAAATGAAACGAAGAACGATTTTCTCTGTTTCCTTAGGATGGATAACAATTGAACAAGGACTTAAGTTAATATACAATGATAGCATAAAAATATTTTTTATCAACCAATGTTTATGTCAGGCAAAGCACGAAAAGTGATTGATCAAATTCATGGATGTTACTACGACAAAACGATTAGAGCTCATGCCTTTAATTTTCGAGCATGTCATCCCATTTTGAAATTGATCTATATTGGCAGCAGCAAATGCTAGTCACAATATAGGTTCCGGCGAAGCCAATTTAATCATGAGTAAAGGTCATGTAGATTTACATATATTTACCTTATAAGTGATCTGACTGTGTATATACCTTTTACACAATCAATACATAAAACTTAAACTCATTAAACAATTGTCTCTGCTCAATTTTTCTTGATATTAACTCCTTGTGCAATTGATTCTACAGGACTGTTTTGGGTAGTGTAAGTGACTATTGTGCTCATCATGCCCACTGCAGTGTTATGATTGTGAAGAAGCCAAAGCATAAATCCTAAGGTATTTCTACTTGGTATGTGTCTATTTGAGTGAACAAGTTTTAGATGTTACAAACATGTCATCATTTTCTCCAATTTGTGGAGGAGAACTCAATTGACTGTGTGTATTTATCCAATTACTTGACTCTCAATTTCCCTATTTAGCTATTTTAAGATTGTAGTTGTTCCCTCTTTGTACCGGGTAGTCTGATAGAGTTTTGTTTAGGTATGTTAGCGGTCTATGTTATGTTCACATTGTTGTTTTGCATAGTTTTATGTTATTGTCTTTTCACTTATTCGTTGTTGTTATTTTCTTTCTGGCATCTTTTGTTGTTACATGCCTTTTCTTTTGTTTCTTTTCTGATATTATTGTCTCTCTTGTTGAGCCGAGAGTCTCCGGGAAACAGCCTTTCTACCCTTTTCGGGGTAGGAGTAAGGTCTGCGTACACTCTACTCTCCCCAGACCCCACTAGTGAAATTTATTGGGTATGTTGTTGTTGTTGTTGTTGTAAGATTGTAGTTGTTATGTAACATACCGGTGGCAAAAATTCATACTATGTGTAATAATTCACAATGTTATGTATGAAATAAGAGACAATATGTGAAGCCAACTTTAATAGTGTGTGTCATGCAGGGGCGGCTCAATAAGTTTTGTGGCCTAAAGCCAAGCTTTAACGGGAGGCCTTAAATTTATAAAAAAAAAAATTAACATTTATTTTATTTGAAGTCTATTTTTTAATATTTTGATATGTAAAATCATACATAATTTTTTAAAATCTACCCGTTTTCTATTTCGAAAAATTAAAGAGAGAAAACATTAATATTCATGTCAAACCTATTTCACACTTTGTTCACATGTATAGAATTTAGGGAAAGATCTACATTGCCAAGTTTTTTACTGAAACAATAAATCAATCATAAATTAAAATATTATTGTTTTTATTTATAAAGAACCTTTCTACATAAAATAATTAATACAAATTTAACTAAGTACTCATTGTGGGTAAAATTTGGGGCCCATAAAAGAGTGAGGTCTAAAGCAAATGCTTTAGTTGCTTCACCCATGAGCCGGCCCTAGTGTCATGTAACATTTAAACTCATCTAAATCTGATATTTTATAAATTAAAATAAAACAAAAATAAAAATACTAAATATTCTATATATTTTCTATCAGTATATAAATTTCCAATATGATTAAAAGAATCTTTAAGAACATTGGATTAAATTGTTAGATATGAGACAACTAAAATTAAGAAAAAAATGATTTTCTGCTAAATTTAAATAAAATACAAGATTGCATATAAATTGAATTGAAGATTACATAAAGAAAATGCATTACACTTGTATACTCAAAAATAAATCTTATATTCAACATTATTTACACCATAAAGCCATTCTAGTACTATTTCACTCGGAAAGATTTGACACCTTTATCACGAAATGCATTTACAAAACCAATACTGATATATGAATGAATTGAGAAAATATGAATGAAGGAGATCTAAAAAGGTGGTGACATACAGACAATATTTTACAAGAATAATTCAAGATCTCTCGCAATTCAGTACATTTAATGCGCAAATAATCGTAAGCAAACTAAAGTGTTGCAACGTGTTAATAATTATTTTGCAACATGTGGCCAACATTTTCGATCACCTTTAGCTTGACAGAAGCAGAATATCCTTAGCAGATACCAACTATATGAACCGTCGATGTGACAAAGATATAACCAAGGTACGCAAACAATTAGACATACAGTGGATCTTTTTTATTATGCAAACTGCATAGGATCCGAGTTTAATGGTAAAGGCAAAATGCGATGCCCAAACTGTAGGATGATAGGAAAAAGAAACTGGATGTTATTCATAGACTCTGAAGATGAAGAACCTGAGCAACAAATCATGGTTCTTCACCTTCAAACCTACAAATAGCATCCAGTTTCCTTCTTAAGTCATCTTACAGTTTGGGGAATACATTCAGCCCTTACCATTAAATCCGATCCAATACAGTTTGCATAACCAAAAGAATTCACTATCTGACTTTATTGTTCATGTACTTTGGGTGTACCTTTTTCACATTGCGCTTCATGTTATGCGGCAAACCGGATAAAAAATAGTGACATCGAGATTTACATGGCTCAGCCAATATGTTTGCTAGTATAAGGAATAGTTTCACTATATAAAGTATATAGAGAACGAAATTAGAGATCTCGCTTTACTTTACACAGAAGAAACACAAGAAAGTTTTCACAAATTCACTCAAGAAATTTTTTTATACAAATAATGTTTCTCACACTCACTTCTCTAATAATATCTCACAACTCTCTTTCTCCCAATATTTTTCTTACAACACTTAAGAAGAATTGATAAAAGATTGATAGAAAAATGAGAAGAAGTTGCCTCTATTTATAGGTAAATTTTCCAACATAATCAAAACATTTTTCATTTGGGTCCACTTGAAATAAATTAGTTGCCAAGTTGAAAATGAACAGTTTTCATGAGTTGACTCCAAAACCAGATATGTTTTAATTTAATTCCAATCCCCCCCCCCTCCTCTTTGGTGCTGCTATTTCTAAAGGTCTATTTTACCCCTACATATATGTCGTTATTACTCCACTTATCCTCTTATGTTCAAGAAAATAACGATATTCTAAAGCACTTAGTCAAATGCATTAGATCCTTCTAAATGTTGCGTGCTTGCCACTTTTTGCAAGTATATTTATGCCCATTGGTTAATCCTTTATTACTTTAGTTGTTCAGTACATTTTGTAAATATGACAAACTTTAAGTTCTTTGCTAATACCTAAAATGACGATCTTGATGACGTCAGAGGAGTAAAGATGCACACAACTATTTCTTTTCTGTTACCTAATATGAAAGCTTTAGATCGTAATCTAGTTGTGATTTACTACTTTCGCAAAATAAGAATTTAAGCTATCATTAATATTAGACATCAAATTATTATTACTACTAGATTTCAAAGTTTGTACAACCATGGTTCATTTTTAGTTTGTGTTTGTCACATGAGAAAATTCAACTAACTTTTGTATAATTTTGATTTAATATAAAGTGGAGATCTTATTTGTGGAAACATCATGATGAGAAAAAGAGTATATTTGAAGTTATGCTTTGAAGTGTTATACATTGCGCATATATGGTGAATAATCTTTTTAAGTTGACGCTAAAACAAAATACTTGAATTTACTTCTAACCACACCCCTAGTGCCACTATGAAGGGTAAGTCTCATTCACGCATACCAATTATCATTGATTGTCCCTTGCACCATACTTCAAATTTCATACTCTCTTTTTCTTATCTTTTTCAAAGGTATTCAAGACTTGTCCTAAAGGGTAAATAATGAAATTAAAATGGTAAGATATGATGTCACTTAGAATACGGAAAAAATTGATAGAGTAAATTAAATATAGTAATGACTATCATGTGTTACTATTCTTCCATAAGAATATTTTAATAGATAATATATTTGTCAATTTTTTATATTTTTACTAAACGTATATTTACTTACCAAAAATTTAACAAAGTAAGATTGAAATAAAATTTAAGTAACAAAAAACCTGATAAAACCGAACCAATCCAAACCGATATAGTTAGTTGGTTTGATTTTGAAAATCAAACCAACCTGGTCCATGTACACCCCTAGTGTGTGAGCTAGCATTATGACAAATACATCATGTTTGTGTTATTTTGTCACGACCCGGATTTCCCACCATCAGAGTCGTGATGGCGCCTACTCGTGGTAGCTAGGCAAGCCAACTTAATTACCTTTCCATCACTAGCAATTATCTTTAACAGTTTATAACATCAATATAGAACATAAAGTCTAATAAGAACAATAGCGGAAGTCTGTCTTAAAATGATGAATTTAAAACGCGGAATAGTCAAAAACAACCTCTACCCAAGATTTGGTGTCACATTACTCACGAACCACTAAGAATAAACTAAATACAAAGGTGTGAAAGAAATATAACAGCTGTCTGTCTCGAAACAATGAGGCAACAGTCAAAAGGAAAACATAAAGAAGAGACGCCCGGCCTGCGGACGCCTGTAAGGCTACCTCAGTCTCGTGATATGAAAGCCTGCTCCCGTACTACTGCTGCTGCTGCTCCTCAAAACCTGGACCTGTGCAAAAATGCACAGAAGTGTAGCATCAGCACAACCGACCCCATGTGCTGGTAAGTGTCTAGCCTAACCCCGGCGAAGTAGTGACGGGGCTAGACTGGACACCACATAAACCTGTGCAGTTATAGATATACAGCAGAAATCGAATACAAAGCAATTACCAACATGGGAGGGAAAACATGCTATGGGGAGTTACAATAATAACAATAATCCAGAGCAACAACTAAAGCAACTTGGGTTCACAATGAACAAGGAATCAATACTCAAATGTAAACACATAGCCTCAATAATTGTTGCGGCGTGCAATCCGCTCCATAATTACCATTGTTGCGGCGTGCAACCCGCTCCACAATATCATTGTTGCGGCGTACAACCCGACCCATATCACTTATCATATATCATTGTTGCGGCGCGCAACCCGATCCTCATATATTATTGTTGCGGCGCGCAACCCGATCCTCAATATCATTTAACAGTCTGACTTCCCAAACAACTGTCACAATTAAGGGGCATAAAATAAGCAAATATTTGACAACCATCCCGGCAAGGGAAAGAATCCAACAAGCTCAACCAAACGTCCCGACAAGGGAATAATCAACAACGCTTTCTTTTTCTTACTTTCCTTATCTTATAATTCACTTTACTATTTTGAGCCAACGCTCCAAAGAATCAAGTCATTTCGTATACTTTCAATATTCGTATCACAATTCGAGCCAATGCTCCAGGAATTAAATGATCCTATTACCGTTCACATGTTATTCACAACATATAGAAATCCTCCAATAAACACGGAGTTCACAACCAAATCATGATAATCACATTATAAGGACTCACGGTCATGCTAGACACCAATGTATAGATACTCGTCACCATGCCTATACATCGTACTCGATCACGTAGCAATTAGCAACAAGACTCAACTCCTATTTCCTCAAGCTAGGGTTAGACCAAACACTTACCTCGGTCCCAACAATAGCAATCAACCTTCAAAGACCGCCTTTCCTCTAAAATCCGACTCCGAAACAGTGATATCTAGGCATGATTAATTCAATAATATCAATAAAGACTCAAGGGCAACATCCCATAGCCTAGATATGAATTTTCTAGCATTCTTCCAAAAATACCAAAATTAGACACCGGGCCCACATGGTCCAAACTCGAGGCTCGGACCAAAACCCGATCACCCATAACCCCACGAGTCCAAATACAAAATTTGTTTTAAGATTCGACCCCAAATTGAGGTTGAATCACCCAAAATTCTCAAAACCCTAACTCTACCCAAAAACCCATAATTTCTACCTTGATTTCATGATTTAGGGCTAGGATTTCAGTAATTAATGAAGGAAATTGAAGAAAACAAGTTAAACAATGCTTACCCAAGAAGCTTTGATGAATAAGTGCTCTAAAATT